TTGTGTGTTTTTGGTGGGGATGCGTTTATTTGAAGACTATCGAGGTTGTAAATCATTTGTAGGCGTATGTACAGCACTTGAGTGTTTTCTCAATTGTGATCCAAGTTCTTCTGCAACACTAAGTTGTATTAATGAAAAAAAACAGTTAACGCAAGTCCTCTCCTTGCTTCCTGGTACAACTTAAGGGGCCATGGTAACCGAAAATCCGAAGAAAAATATAATATTTACGAAAAATTACGAAAAATACTACAACGTTCTGGCAACACTGTGGTCCAAACCGTTTAATGATATCTTGAAAAATAACGTAATTAGAGTCAAATTTCCCGCTGCAACTTTCGTGAATCTGGTTCGCGGCGTGAGTGCACCGCGGGGTATTGTATCTTACGTTGTATAAGTCTTATTTTTCGTAATAGCGTTGAAAATAACATGTTATGCATAAAATTAATATAAACTCACTCAGTGGCAACAGTATCGTGAGAGAGAGAGGGTGGTACGTGGCTCAGGCCCCTCAGTGACTCTGTGTCTCTCTTGGAGAGAGGATATATCGCTGACGCGCTCTCACAATATCTCCCAGAACTCATGCTATTATTGCTATTTGTACTGCAATATGACTGACTTACCAAACGAAGAAGAGGAAAGCATTGAAAGCTAGATGCATGCGAGCTCTCCATACAAGGTACGAGCTGGCTCATACTCGCGGTCACGAGTGACCGCGAGTAGAGTAACTTGTCGCGCGCGCTACGCAACTCCAACTTTTACAACTAGATCTGCCTTCACAGCCTTTATTCAATTTACATGAAACTTGCACATTATATGTAGAGTTTACGCCTCTAAAAACGGTTGATATTTTTCTTATCTACGTAGATTTATTGATTTTATAAATAATAAGAACAAAGGTAACTGCAGAAGGCCTATTGGCCCATACGAGGCAGCTCCTATTTATAACCACCCAATCCCACTCATATACTTGTCCAACCCACATTTGAAACAATCGAGGGACCTCACCTCCACCACGTTACGCAGTAATTGGTTCCACAAATCAACAACCCTGTTACCGAACCAAATCTTACCAAATTACCCAAATCTTTTCTATATCTAAAATTATCCAATTTATACCCATTGTTTCGTGTTCTGTCTTGTGTTGATACTTTTAATGCCCTATTAATATCCCTTTGTTATGGCCATTCATCCACTTGCAAACCTCTATCATGTCTCCTTTCCAGTGAATGCAATAAAGGCTTTGTTAATCTCTCTTCATATGACAGGTTACTAATTTGGGGAGTTAACTTTGTCATCCTATGATGGACACGTTCAAGTGAATTTATAGCCATTCTATAGTATGGCGACCAAGACTGAACTGAATAATCTAAATGGGGCCTAACCAGAGCAGGTTAGCTTGAGGTTATCTCGAGATGATTTCGGGGCTTTTTAGTGTCTCAGCGGCCCAGTCCTCGACCAGGCCTCCACCCCCAGGAAGCAGCCCGTGACAGCTGACTGACACCCAGGTACCTATTTTATTGCTAGGTATCAGGGGCATAGGGTGAAAGAAACTCTGCCCATTGTTTCTCACCGGCACCTGGGATCAAACCTAGGATCACAAGTCCAGCGTGCTGTCCGCTCGGTCAACCGGCTCTCTAGCAAGATATAGCTGAAGAACACCACCAGGTGTCTTGTTACTAACACTTCGATTAATAAATCCCAGTGTCCTATTTGCCTTATTTCGAACATTCATGCACTGATCCTTTGGTTTTAAATTCGTACTAATCATAACTCCCAGATCCCTTGTAACTTGTAACATTTTCCCACTCTGACTTAACCCCATTTATACTAACTCTGTTTCCTTTGGAATAGCCATGCCCTAATCCAACTTAATATAGCACCCCCAATACCATGAGCCTCTATCTTTTTAATCAGTCTTTCATGTGGCACTGTATCAAAAGCTTTGCTAAAGTCAAGGTACACAACATCACAATCCTTACAGCTATTAACTGCCTCAACTATGCTAGAATAAAAAGATAGCAAATTTGTTAAACATGAACGGCCATTTGTAAATCCATGTTGCGACTCATTTATTAATTTTTGTTTTTCAAGATGAAGATGAATTGTATTTGCAATTATCGATTCAAGTAACTTTCCCACAATAGACATTAGGCCGTATGTAATTGGCCGATAGTTTGACGCAAGTGATCTATTACCTTTCTTAAATACTGGTACCACATTAGCAACCTTCCATGACTGGCACTCTGCCTGACTATTGATTTATTAAATATGGTAGACAGTGGCTCGCAAAGCTCCTCTGGATTTGTTATTTGTTTGATTTGACTTGAAGGGGATTTGTTTGGTTTGATAATGATACACTTCATTTTGTTGCATACGTTTTTGGGAAACTTTTAAAAATCTGTATTATTGCACTAAATACATCTGGGATAAAGATCGATCAACCAAATCTTTATTATATAGTAAGGTAAGGCTGAGTGTCGTAGAAATGATTTTGGTTCACAATTGTGGGCTGTGAAAGCAATTGAACATTGTTGAAAAATTGTATAATTTTTTTTTTTTCTCCTTCTCTATTTAGGGTGAGATGCTGAAACTTGGCCTAGGTGCAGCACCTTTCACATGTATCAGGATAATAAATTATGAATACCCTACAACAACTCTCATATTTCCGGTCTTATAACCCCTTAAAGTCAGTAAGAGATACAGTTTAGTTTTTTCTATTTTTTGCATACTGCCCATATACAAATTTTTTGTGGGGGGGGGGGGGGGTTTGGAGAGTGCATACAGGGAGTGACAATTTTGAGGGTTTCCAAAAATTATAATTGGTAATTATGGAAAGAGTATGTAATGTATTAGAAGAGCCATCCAAAACTAAGTAAAAAGTTTAAAGCCCCAAATACACTGCCAAATGGTTAACTAAACTATTAAGTCCAACCAATTTATTTGAAAGTAAATAAGAGGGCCTGAACAACAAAGTAAATAAGAGGCCCTGAACAACAGTCACATAATTTGACTAAACATTTGTAACACAGTGAAAGCCTACCATCAATATAAACTTATTTAAAAGGTGATCCAAGTGATGTCTAGTTGCATGGTTTGCAAGTTCGTTCCCATTCCCACAAAAATTTGTTATATTTTTATCTGCCCAGCACCATCTCAATCTAGCCAAAGCATCAGGGTATCATTAAAGCCTTTAAAGACTTGCTAAACCAAGATGACCTCTTCCAGTAGAGAGAATAAACATATGACATGCAGTTAATTTGCAATTACTGTATAAAAAAAAATAATGTCTCCTATGGCATTAGGAACATGACAAAATGCAGATCAACACCAAGAAAACCATTTGAAGAAAACAGGAGTTTGTCCATAACTTCACAAGTTGCCGAGACAGTGAGCCTTAACCGAAGGATTGGAGAGGAAGGGCTCAGTTATCTGGAAGAGCAATGCAGGTATAGCTTAAGAGATACAGTAATGTGAATCTCTATGTGGAAATGGATGCGAATAACTTGGTCAAGTTAGCAAACGTAGAAGTGAAATAGATAATGCCGCAGATAACGGCAAATTTAAATAAAAACAGTTGACAAATGGATCCATAATAAAGAGGGGAAACAAGTTATTAAACATTTACGGAATACAAAGACTACAGGAGATGAGGCGACTACCTACAAGATCTACAAAGAAACAATGTGAGGGAAAGCATTCGAACACTCAGTGATGGGGTTTGCTGGAAATGCTGCTAACTCTTGTGGGACATTCCTTATGACCTAGCACATCGTCACTCAAAACTTCTGACAGTTTAACGTTAACCAATAACCCAGAACCCTTATCAGTACATTAGATAGACTTACATCACCACCCGCCGCTAATGACCAACCTCCCACCTCCCTCTTCTCCATAACCATATTATTTAAAAAGTTCATGAAGCAATCATTATCTACATGAAAAATTAATTATGTTGTGAAACAGGTGCATGAAAAATTAAATTTTTAATTGACAAATGTTGGAAAACAAAAATTTGTGGTCAAAAAGTTAAAAATATGGAAATAATTTAACAATATTACAAGAACTCTATACATTTCCTTGCATATACATAATTGCATATTAAATTCTGATTTTATCATTAAGTTTTGAAATTTAGATAGAGGTGTTGCTCCATAATTTTAAATTCTCTTTTTAAGATTCAATGAAAATCTATTTTATGGAAAACAAACAAAAAAAACTATATATTGTCTCACTATAATTTATGATGTTTAATTACAAGTGCTCTCTCGTTACCAAGTGACAATAGCCAGAGAAATGTCAGGTCTGATAACAGGAATTTCAATTCAGAACAATTTTCTCGTTACAACAATGACACTTCTCAAATGATGTGAGCCATATGTAACTTTGGTGAACTCTCAAATCCTAATGTAAGCAATGCATTATTCAAGAATCTTCCAAATTAAATGTTTTCGTATTTTTCTATTCATTCAATTATTTATGCCTTAAAAATGATTTTATTTTCAAATACTGCAACATAATTCAAAGTATCTTCATTCTTGATCCTTCACCATTTACTCACTAGCATTGTCCCACACACACATACACTTAAGGTTCATATGCCACGAAAATTCAATCAAGAAATCAACTTTTAATTATTAACTACCAGCATGCTAAGCAAATATATACATTAAATTACATTTTCACAGTAAATGCTCAATATGACGTTACTTGATAACTAAATTCCAGCTTTAGAAAAAATAGGTTTAGACATTTTTGTTTAATTTGGATCTAGAAGAAATTCAATATACTGTCATATTACAACTAGCTAATATGATAATTTTTATCAATGTAAAACAAAAGAAGATTACAAAAAAAAAATTAAAAAAGTACAATATTACTGGAATTACTTTACCATAAAGACAAGTTCAAGACAAAAAAATACCGTCTCGGGATACACTAAAAGCAAATACTGTACTTTACAAATCTGACTAAAGCAACATCAGCAGACATAGAACACATACCCCTTGCATCCCCGAAGGACCAGCTAACGCTTCTACAACTGCTTCTGGAAGTGGCTGAGGATGCTTGGGATCTAACTGGTGGGTGTATTTATTGCCCTGTTCTTCCCCTCCTGTACTCGAGTCACCTCCACCCATAGATCCATAATCCATTCCAGAGTCTAGCATCTCCCCTTGATTGTCATCCACAGAATCTACAATTTCTTCTTTGACTAGAGTTTCATCTACATTATCCTGAAAATAAAAAATGGGAGTGCTTTAAACAAATGCAATACTTTATTATCTTTCAGGATTCAAACTATAGTACAGCTATTAAAATTACAGAATATAAAAACTACAAAATAAAGAATAATCATTGTATACACTGGATAATAAAATATCAAGACACAGTATAACAAAAACAATGTACTAACAATAATTAACTTTATAACCATTAAGATACACAATAACTGGCATTAATGAAGAATTGGCCAAATGCATGTTATCAACATTTTATAAATTATAGCCACTAGTTCAATCATGTATTTATGAGAAAAATTATATATATTATATGTAAATTATAACGCTCACTTCAGCCTCAATCACATGTTATTATTGAACAGGAAATTGAAATTATTAATGCCAAACATTTTGTCCACTGTGAACATGATCAAAATTATTCACAACCAACCTGAGCATGTGAAGATTCTTGTTTTGTGGAATTATAGTCCACCGTTTGCTCTGTCCGCTCACTCAACCTCTGATCAATGCTGTCTTCACCTCTTTGGTCTTGCGTGTGCGCTTTAGATTGTTCAAAACTATTGTTCGATTCTGTGTGATGGGGGGAGGAAGGAGGACTTTCTGACGGCTGTGACCCTCCTTGCGGAACAGAAGGAACTTGCTCCTCACGTCGTCGTCTTTTTGGATGGGGACTGGTCCTATCATCACGCGAACTCCACGGATATGAATTTTTCTTGGCACCATCTTTCATGGGTGGTTCATCAGGCACAGCTAGACCCTTAATTTGAAGTAACTCGGCAGCTTTGATCAGACGTGCCAAGTCATTCTGGGCTACACTCACAACACCGGCATACATATAACTTAATAAAGCCTCTAGTTCATCAGGTTTCACATCTTTTAAAACTATAACTGGATGTTTACATGGTGTATGCTCAAACATCTTTTCAAAATATTCACTGCATGTTGATAGTACTAGTTTGTGCACTGGGTAAAATTTACCTTCACATGCTAAAGTAACATCAGTATATCTCTCCTGTCAAACAAAAGAAATGGTTTTAATCAGCAATAAAAATATAAAATAATTTTGAAAGTTGTCACAACCTCCAAATATATTAAGCCTCTATCTTAATTAATTTACATAGATCTAAGTGTGTAAGGTTACATACACATTGAATAAAGCCTTCATCATAAACCATTTTTAAAATTACTATACATAAATTCACAATATACATAAATAAAGAAAATAAAGCACAATGCTGTCCAGTTTATGGTTTACCTTTTCCCGTAGTGTTGAGAGAATGTGGCAAAATGTGGCTTTATGGTTATTCCATGACAACGATAGCATGCCATCTGTAGCCATCTTGCCAGAATGTTTGTACCTGTGAAAATATCTAGACTTTAGCAAATATATGCACGCACACACATTTTGTGAAGACTGTCTGCTTCTCTCCTGTGTAGTTAAAACTGAATTTGAAAACTTATCAACATTTAATAAAGATCATATGCAGTCATAAAAATTCACATTCAACTAAATCTTTCTTTGTTCTACAATATATAAATTAAAGTCTTGTACTATTAAAAACCAATTACACATTAAATAATGCCAAAATATGGCAGGCTACAGTATGCAAGCATAAAAACCTTTCCAAACATTTGACTACACTCGGAATATCATCCATAAAAGTTTTACATGAATATGTGATGTTTATCAAACGGTATCCAAATAAGTCATTTTTCATGGCCATTTATATGATGAAGTTTTCACAAGTCCAATTATTTAATTAATGTCATCCTAGGCTACCAATGTAAGGGAAGTTTAACCCTTTGTACACCAACATTAAGTGATCATCAAGCTAAGCAACAAAAAATTAAACTGATGTGGCCACGACCACCAACAGTAAAACTAAGTTCATTAAAATAAAATGAAAGTGAATGGAGGGGCAAGTCCATACTACGATACCCAATAAATTGATTTTGTACAGGAGTTGACGCGTTACCAGAAACGACAGAAGATACACTGTCATCAGAACCTAACTTTGCGGTATAAACGACCCAGGAGATGGTAGGAGGTGGAGATAGGGTATAAAATGTGGCGGGAAGGTGGCCACAAAGGTGCGGGCCAGCAGAGGGACAGAGGTGGGACAGAGGTGGGCCAAGCGGCGCGGGGCCAGCCTCGCCTGCGTCGCGTCGCCCACGTCACACAAGGGACAAGCCATTCATCTCTACCTCACATCACTTTACAACACTACCACACCTCTCCCACACTCGCCACTCACGCCCCAACACACACCACAACCGCACGCAGCGTGTCCTAGCAACAACTACTGATAATCACTTCATAATGTGCAGTTTGGGCGTCTCCACGAGGTAAACAAAACATGGAGGGTTGAGAGATCGCCATGAAGGACGCGGACGCTAACACCACCTCGCACACAACGCCCCCATCTTGTGACCTCACAGCTTCATTATCACCAACACCACATGCCACAGTCACTCACACCTGCTTTATAGTACTGGCAAACTAGCAACAACAGGAGATAATGAGTAATTCTCACCCACACAGTAGAGATAACAGCCGCCTGGTCGTGGTCGGCGTCGCCTGGTTGAGCGGCGGCGCCTCGCTGCCAGATGCTCTCACATACTTGCCACACTCTTTACACCTCACAACAAATATTACATTAAACTACGATAATAATAAGTCTCTCCCAGTTCTGACAACTAATAATACATCATATCATAATTACAAAGTTCCTTAAATGCGTGGTAATTACCAGCTTCATGAAATGCAAGGAGGAAAAATGTTATCCTGTAGTTATCGTGTCATTTAGTGGTTCCATGGGCAAGCGTGCTTTCTGAACGACGCTCCCAGGTTACCGATTTAAGAATATAATGCTATTTAAAAGCAAAATGTCGGTATTGTAATAGCCCAACTTTCAATTGAATACATATACCTTTAACTGATTTGATTACTAATGCCAAACTGAATTCAAGTGTCAGAAAATGGATAAGGTAGAGAACAAAGAAACTGATCCAGAGTGGCAAGACTCAATATTTTCAGGCTTTACATATCCTATGGATGTATTTATTACAATTATAATTAATATACCTAAACTTCTCAACTACAAGTTGTAAACAGTAAACAATATCAGTACATGTAACGTTCCATTTAAATCGAAAATTTTACCGCAGGTGTAATTACTTAACGGTCGGCACTCTTATTAATAACGTCTTTTGTAATAATAAATGTTTGTGTCGGGGACAGGAAGCCTGTATACATATATATACATTATTTATATATTATATTAATATATGTTGTACCTAGTAGCCAGAACGTCGTACTTGGCCTACTATGCAATGCCCGATTTGCCTAATAAGCCAAGTTTTCTGAATTTATATATTTTTCCATTTTTTTCCTATGAAATGATAAATCTGTCCATTTCATTATGTATAAGTTAATTTGTTTAAATTTGAGTTAAAACTAACGTAGATATATGACCGAACCTAACCAACCCTACCTAACCTAACCTAACCTAAACTAACGCAACTAAGTCAATAAATTATGGCCTTAATATAATATAATAATAATCAAATAAACTATTTGGAAAAAAATATTGAAAATAAAGAAAATCACTCGGCCTATTAGGCAAATCGGGCCTTGCATAGTAGTCCGAGAAGTGCGTCCTGGCTACTAGGTACGATATATATATATATATATATATATATATATATATATATATATATATATATATGACAATGTCAGACCACGGAGGAAAAATGAAACAGGAAATTTCCTTAAGTACTTTCGTATATTAAATACATCTTCAGAAGGTCATTTTACAGATCGAGTGATGGGTATAAATAGGCAGGAAGGAGTGGTGAAGTAAGGTGAGGTACAATACTTGGACAACGCAGACGGCCCATTGGCCCATCAGATGCACCCAATTGACACATCCGATGTAGCCCAATGGCCCATCTGATACAGCAGACATACAAGCATAATATATAGGTAATTATAACTTAAAGAAGTAAATATATACAATAAATTAGTGAGACAAATGTTTTTCAATGATTCTACTTAAATCGCCCTTTAGCTGATCTATTAGAAATGGATCTAAGTTATATAGACCACTGCTAATATTCAAATTACTTTCTTTGGTGATCTGTATCAAAGCAGATTCAATTATGTTTCTGTTATAGGTGCTTTTACAATTTGTTATTGAAGAAGCACTCTCCCAATCAATTTGATGAGCTTTTTCTGACAAAAATTGATTGGGAGAGTGCTTCTTCAATAACAAATTGTAAAAGCACCTATAACAGAAACATAATTGAATCTGCTTTGATACAGATCACCAAAGAAAGTAATTTGAATATTAGCAGTGGTCTATATAACTTAGATCCATTTCTAATAGATCAGCTAAAGGGCGATTTAAGTAGAATCATTGAAAAACATTTGTCTCACTAATTTATTGTATATATTTACTTCTTTAAGTTATAATTACCTATATATTATGCTTGTATGTCTGCTGTATCAGATGGGCCATTGGGCTACATCGGATGTGTCAATTGGGTGCATCTGATGGGCCAATGGGCCGTCTGCGTTGTCCAAGTATTGTACCTCACCTTACTTCACCACTCCTTCCTGCCTATTTATACCCATCACTCGATCTGTAAAATGACCTTCTGAAGATGTATTTAATATACGAAAGTACTTAAGGAAATTTCCTGTTTCATTTTTCCTCCGTGGTCTGACATTGTCACATTCTTAATCACGTGTTTATTTTCGTGATATACACACACATATATATATATATATATATATATATATATATATATATATATATATATATATATATATATATATATATATATATATATATATATATATATATATATATATATATATGTCGTACCTAGTAGCCAGAACGCACTTCTCAGCCTACTATGCAAGGCCTGATTTGCCTAATAAGTCAAGTTTTCATGAATTAATTGTTTTTCGGCAACCTAACCTACCTAACCTAACTTTTTCTGCTACCTAACCTAACCTAACCTATAAAGATAGGTTAGGTTAGGTTAGGTAGGGTTGGTTAGGTTCGGTCATATATCTACGTTAATTTTAACTCCAATAAAAAAAATTGATCTCACACATAATGAAATGGGTAGCTTTATCATTTCATAAGAAAAAAAATTAGAGAAAATATATTAATTCAGGAAAACTTGGCTTATTAGGCAAATTGGGCCTTGAATAGTAGGCCGAGAAGTGCGTTCTGGCTACTAGGTACGACATATATATATATATATATATATATATATATGTCGTACCTAGTAGCCAGAACGCACTTCTCAGCCTACTAAGCAAGGCCCGTTTTGCCTAATAAGCCAAGTTTTCCTGAATTAATATATTTTCTCAAATTTTTTTCTTATCAAATGATAAAGCTACCCATTTCATTATGTATGAGGTCAATTTTTTTTATTGGAGTTAAAATTAACGTAGATATATGACCAAACCTAACCAACCCTACCTAACCTAACCTAACGTATCTTTATAGGTTAGGTTAGGTAGCCGAAAAAGTTAGGTAGGTTAGGTAGTCGAAAAACAATTAATTCATGAAAACTTGGCATATTAGGCAAATCGGGCCTTGCATAGTAGGCTCAGAAGTGCATTCTGGCTACTAGGTACGACATATATATATATATATATATATATATATATATATATATATATATATATATATATATATATATATATATATATATATATATATATATATATATATATATATATATATCTATCTCACTAAGAACTCTTAATTGACCCGACCAGGATTCGAACCCATGACCACCCCTAAACGTACACAGTACCGTGACCGTCGCTCCATTGATCGTCTAGTCTAGACGATCAATTGTGCGATGAATCATTCATTGATGATTTGATCAATGAATGAAGTGTAATAGCGCACTGATCAATGAAAATAATAACCCGCTATTCTGAAAACACGAAGAAATGTAGACTATATTTCCATCCACTACGGATGGTAGTGGAAACAGTCTCCATTTCCTCATGTTTTCAAAATAGTGATATTATTTTCATTTATATATATATATATATATATATATATATATATATATATATATATATATATATATATATATATATATATATATATATTTCACGCAATAATATCTTTATTTATACAATATAACTGATATATTATAATATTTAATCGTCATTTAATTGGTCAAAAACTTGTGATTTTTATTCCAGTTAAAAATGGTTTGTGTGATCCGCAGGTTACACTCTCCGCACAGATCACTGCAGTGTTATAGACGTGAGCTGGTGCCCGTAAGGAGGATCTGGTGGCTCTGGGCGTGGAGGAGGCCTGGTCGAGGACCCTGTGCGTGGAGGGGGCCTGGTCGAGGGCCCTGTGCGTGGAGGGGGCCTGGTCGAGGGCCCTGTGCGTGGAGGGGGCCTGGTCGAGGACCCTGTGCGTGGAGGGGGCCTGGTCGAGGGCCCTGTGCGTGGAGGGGGCCTGGTCGAGGGCCCTGTGCGTGGAGGGGGCCTGGTCGAGGGCCCTGTGCGTGGAGGGGGCCTGATCGAGGACTCTGTGTGTTGAGGGGCCCTGGTCGAGGGCCCTGTGCGTTGAGGGGCCCTGGAGGACCTTTACGTGAGTGAAGGATGTGGAAGAGCCTTGGAGAACGGTGTGTGTGGAGGAGCCCTGAAGGGCAATGTGTGTGGAGGAGCCCTGAAGGGCAGCGTGTGTGGAGGGGCCCTGAAGGGCAGCGTGTGTGGAGGAGCCCTGAAGGGCAGCGTGTGTGGAGGGGCCCGGATAGACACTGTGTGTGGAGGGGTCCTGAAGGACACTGTATGTGGAGGGGGTCTGACGGACACTGCGTGTGGAGAGACCCTGAAGGTCACTGTGTGTCGTGGGGCCCTGACCGTCACTGTGTGGAGAGAGGCCCTGATGAACACTATTTGTGGAATGGAGAGCCATTTGTGTGGATGGAACCTGGAGAACCGTGCGTGTGAAGGGTGTGGAGCGGCCATGTAGTGATCTGAGGATGCGGATAAGGGTTAGTGGGAGTGGGAACCTGGGGGCGGCGCAGACGGCGGTGGTGTGATCATCAAGGAGCATCCTTCCTGCCAGCAACGTCGACGACCCGTATCCAGCATCCTCCATACTACCCGCTCCACACTCCCTTCTGTAAAAGGGTTAAAGGGTTGTGAAAGTACATTTGTTGGTGATAATTGATACATTCTTGCAAAGCCACCAACATGTAAAGCGTTTTAAAATACAATATAAAAAGATTATGGCAAAATTACACCAGTCAAAATCATTAGTTGAAATATACCATTATAGTCTGCTTGTTCTACAACTACGTCTGCAGGTTATGCTTGTATATTACCCACAAATATTGTACAAATATTGCTGGGCAACATGAAACACAAACAGATACTCGAGGATCCCCATAGTAAACGCTGCATTTCCAGGTGGCAACCTGTCATCAAAATATAATAGTACCTGTAGCTACTATGGATGGAATGGACAAAATCTAGAGTATTGTGACAAAGGCAAAAATTCCACGTTTTGTACTATTAATTTTGGAGAGGGTCCGTAAAGCCTAGCATTTCCTAGGCTTAGTATGGTAAATATATGTGCTAAATTAGCCCGAAGATTGCTTATGTTATGCGTAGAAAATGTAAGGTTAAATTTGTGGCTTGTTTATTTAAGTTTTGTTATGCCCTTTACAATTGCAGTAGCAAGACGTGGTTCCTTTTTTGGGGGGTGAAGGGGGTGGGTGGAGATGAGGAGGTTTTTGTACCTACAAAAACATTCGTACATTTTGTACTTCTTCATCAATAGTAGTTATAGGTACTGTCATTTTTGGAGGCTGGGTTATATATCGAAATATACGCAGAGCTCGGGGATCATGCTAAATAGAGCAAGATATACTATATTTATATTTGCATTTTAATTCACTATTAAGCGAGAGCCATGTATTAATGAATTACTTTTATACTTATAAATAAAATGGATTTAATGCAAATGGCTTTAACAATATTTTTTCTCAAAATGGCTTTTTATAGTGACTATAGCTAGCAATGAAAGATGACGTTAGATCATATGATGTTATAATTAGATTGTTTGCAGTACTATTATGAGGGGAGTAGTAAAGTTATACACATAGAAATATGAGGAAATATGAGAGGAAAGAAAAATAATTTTAATATTGTTAATATTCATTAACAATATTTATTTTGTATTATATTTTAAAAGGAAAGATACAGTATGTTGAATCAATGAAAATTCACGAGAAACAGCAGATCTGAGGAAAGTGTGTGAGTGTGTGTGTGATACAACACTGAAGGTGTGGTATACTTACTGCTTATGGAGTGTGGAGTGAAGCCAGGAGTGTATGGTGGGTCTGGGTGTAGGTGTGGAGGTGTGGAGCTGGGAGCACGCCCACCTCTGAATGGCCCCAGCAAGCTCTGGTACCCGACCCACTACAACCACCACTCTCCCTTCCAAACTCTATATACAAACCAGAGAGAGAATTTGGAAGATTGACTCTTATATGTTATGATAATAGAAGATAAGAAAATATCGCATAAAAGCAAATCAACAGCTCCTGTAAGTATATCTTGCCCGAAACGCTTTGCGTAATAGTGGCTTTAGGCATTGTATGTACTAGCTCTATCTATAAATCCATCAACTTTTGTATCTTACCTTGTATGTATGTACATACCTTACCTGAATAAAAATTTATTTATTTATTTATTTATATAAAACCATCAAAGCTGCTCATGTATTTGTCTAAGTGAGTTTGCTTTCTCATAGATATGCAACCCTATTTCCATACCTGGGTACGGAAATAGTACACAGTACACAGCTATTTATTTTCTTAATATAACTTCATCTAAACGAATCCAGTGTTTCGTGTTATATCTCTGGGTAGATATTTTTACCACAACATTTATATCCCCCCCGTTGTTAAATCCTTTCATTCATTTGTACAATTTAATCTTATCCCCATTTCTTAGCCTCTCTCTTGAGAGCCGTAATAATGCCTGGGATTAAGATGACTTATACCTTAAACTCACAGTAAAGAATGGGATGCACAATTAACAAAATCTTATGACAATGACATTCAACTAAATTATTATTTAAAAAATGATATAGACATCAACGTAGGAATCAAATCCGAGTAGAAAGATGAGTGGTCATTATGGAGTAGTGGAAAGCGTTACACATGAGAATAATTAGGTGAGTACAGACCCTGAGGATGGAGACAACACGCTGCAGACTGAGGGAGGCCACCGAGGTCTGGTTCACCGCCAGCAGCTTGTCTCCCTGCATTATGCCTCCGTAGCCAGCTGCGAGGCTACCCGCCTCCTGTGGCTCACACAACACACTCATATATAACACACACTACACCAAAATACTCTACAATATACTAAAACATTTGCAATAAAAAACAGTTGAGCATTATGCAGTGTCATATAATGTATTATAATACAGTTATATAATGTTACAATACTTGCAATACAGTAAACACAATATGATGCACCAAAGCACAAAGTAGTGCAATATTAATCACAGATTGGTGTTCAATAGACTCTATAAACTGATCTTTTATTTCATATGAGTTTTTTAACGTTATTAAGCACTGTATATATACACAGTGGTGAAAACGATCACACATATAAATAGATCACATGTAGTCCAACAGAAAGAGCAGCAAGGAAGGGCTCAGTGCACCATGAGAATGAAGTCATGAAAGGCACGAAGGAAAAATTATTTAATGAAATAACAGAGATGTTTCCTTACCACTAGAGTGACGAAGATTCCTTTTCTGTCTCTATAACACGAAGATAAATTATTAGTAATGTTGTTATTACTATTGTATTATTATTATTATTATAGTTATATTAGTACAAATGTATCCGAAACATTGATCCGCCACAAGAACTTACCTTCGCTCCATGAGACTCAACCCTATACGCTCTGCTACACTGGACTTGTAAAGTTCCATTGTGATGAATATCGTCGGCTCTGTAAGGTCAAGTTTGAGGCTAAGATAAGATGCTAACTTGATAACGTTACTCAGAGCGGCCGTCCGCCCCCCCCCACAGTGATATTACACAAGTATTACATGTATGAAGGATTATGTGTACTATTGCAAATTGATTGATTGATTGATGAAGATTAAGCCACCCAAAAGATGGCACGGGCATGAATAGCCCGTCAGTGGTGGCCCTTTTGAGCCATTAACAGTATCAATAGATACTGGAGATCTGTGGAGGTGCGACTGCACCCTGCGTGACGGGAGATGTCTCCCGTATTGAAATGAGGTGACCCAGAACAAATGGTGTGGTGAGGACCAGGACCCACCCTAACCCAGGGACTTACCCTTGGTAGTGGTGAAGAGCTGCTCGGGGTCCTCACGGATCACAAGCAGCCTGACAGGGGAGGAGCAGCATCGCAACACCTTCACCGCCTCCTCTTGTGTAGAATGCTGTCGGAAATAGACACTCTATTAGTCTATAACATCTCAATATTTGGACTCGTAAAATCTAGTTCGTATTGCCTGTGTTTATCTGTTACTAGTGGTGATGGCGAAGCACTCAGGATTACACACACACAAACACTTAAATGCACTTGTAAATTAATGCAAAAGATATAGGAGGCTAATAAATATGCAGAAACAAAATAAGAAATATTGAACTGAAAATTTATTCACCGTTTGTGAATGAAGAACCATTTGAAACAGTTGGTATAATGGGCGATGTGGAAGTCACACACATGAAGCAAGAAAGTTATGAAAATCAAGGCAATGAGACCGGATAAAATATGCTGGGTGCTGATGACTAAGCTATCCTTTTTGGACCATCTTCAGCAAGTCTTTTGAGGGAAAGAAAAATATCAGTAATGGATCAAATGACCAACATTGTATCTATGTTGAACCGTGAAGACATATGATGCACTGAGCTACACACACCAAATTCGTCAACACTTCCAATATGCTAATTTCTTAAGAAAACTACCTAGAAAATGATAAATCTTTAATCTAAAAAGTAATGTGTCTTCAGGTTTTGAATATACTGTGTTTTGAACTTGCTATCTCCTTATAATAAAATAATAAAGATAAAGTGTTCAGGAAAAAGATGGATTTACTGTATTCTTGGATCTGAAGATAACATTTGGCCACACACAAGACTCTAAATTGTAGTATAAAGAATATGTTCCTAGCATGATGATAGAATTCAATAATGAAACATCAGTGGAACAAGAAACATTATTTTCAATGAATTACCCCAATGATACATTTGATTTAGCAATGATATTGGCGTATATTCTCCGAAACATTTGTTTATAATAAAATGAAGATATATATCTTTTACACACAGAAATCACAATAGCGTGATACTTTACAGCTCGATTTTAATATGTAATGATGGCGGCGGACCTGCTGTTGACAAGGGAGTGAATGATCTACTGGACACAAGGGTGGAGTTTGAACGTGAAGGGCATCAATGAGCAGGAACTGTTCTCTGTGTTCAAGAGCAAGTGAACAATTAATGTTCATTATACATGTATGAAGTTATTGCTGTCATGTTGACATTACCATATTGTGCTAGTACGTGAACGAGTAAGTACAATACTTGTGCTTGTACGTGAACGTTGTATATCAGTGCTTGAACCACCGGTATATCAGTGCTGGAACCACCTGTATATCAGTGCAGGAACCACTGGTATATCAGAGCTGGAACCACTAGTATATCAGTGCTTGAACCACCGGTATATCAGTGCTGGAACCACCTGTATATCAGTGCAGGAACCACCGGTATATCAGAGCTGGAACCACTAGTATATCAGTGCTGGAACCACCGGTATATCAGAGCTGGAACCACTAGTATATCAGTGCTGGAACCACCGGTATATCAGTGCTGGAACCACCAGTATATCAGTGCTGGAACCATCGGTATATCAGTGCTGGAACCACCGGTATATCAGAGCTGGAACCACTAGTATATCAGTGCTGGAACCACCGGTATATCAGAGCTGGAACCACTAGTATATCAGTGCTGGAACCACCGGTATATCAGTGCTGGTACCACCAGTATATCAGTGCTGGAACCATCGGTATATCAGTGCTGGAACCCCCAGTATATCAGTGCTGGAACCCCCAGGGTATCAGAGCTGGAACCACCAGTATATCAGTGCTGGAACCACCAGTATTTAAGACCTGTAACCACCAGTATATCAGTGCTGGAACCACCAGTATATCAGAGCTGGAACCACCGGAATATCACCACCACCATCGGTCCCTCCCTCGCCATCACCAAGGACCCCTTCACCCACCACCCAGACTTACCATGAGGGACGTGTTGTTGACCTGGAGAATAATGTCGCCTCTCTGAAGCCTGCCGTCCACCCACGCCTCTCCGCCCTCCGTCACCTCCTCCACCACCACACATCCCTGCAACCACAACCAACATTTACCACAACAACCAACATTTTCCACCACAACCAACCAAAGAAATAAGGCCTATCTATAACATTTTACCAACGAATGAGATATTTTTTTAAAATGCAGACAATGTATTTTCAACAAATCTTGTTGAAAAAATGATTAAGTTTGGTGGAGTGAAAAACATATTTTAGAACACAAATATTAAAACAGAGGTCGAAATAGATTAAAGACATTTCCGAATATATAGCATTTTTTTTATTTTACAAAAGTAAATATAATCTAGAGGCGTGTAATTAATGAGAGAAACGCCCAAACTGTTCCACTGACCAGGTAGGTGTCAACGCCGCCCACCACTCTCAGGCCTAGTTCATGGGTCCTCGAGTCCTTGTGCAGTACGATAACAGTTTCCACCAGCTCCTCCACCTCGCTCAGGGCAACTGCCAGATGTATGAGTTGTATAAATAAAGTTACAATGTAAATAATAAATATATGGAGGGGAGGGAATTATCGGCTGATAGGGCAAAGTCACTAGTACTATATAACACTTGGAAGGGGTCAGGATAAGGATTTTGGGATGGGACGAGGGGAAGGAATGGTGCCCAACCACTTGGATAGTCGGGGATTGAACGCCGACCTGCATGAAGCGACTGTCGCTCTATCGTCCAGCCCAGTGACTATGAGTCAAAGTAAATGATTCATCCTCTTGTGTAAATGGGTTCAGAGAGGATGTGCTCTGTAAGTCAATCTGGCTCAAACTATTCACATACATCACCATGTATCTGAATGTGCTAAAATGTCAGATATTATGAGACAACTCTATCACAAATGTTCAAGAAATATACATTTATTTTATCCAAGATGACATATTATCCAAAAGCCAGGTCTCCCAAGATTGCCTGGTGTTGAGGGTGCATACAGATACACTGTAAGCTTGAAGTGCCTGCAAGTCTCTGGCTTACCTCGTGATCATGTACCATAACGTTACCTACGTTACATAATTACATCATTACCCCTTGTAACTTTATTACAAATTTGAGGCAATAAAACCTGTACTGCAAATTACAGGTTTTAGAGGCATATTGCTTAAGGTATAGAACACTGGAGTTCAGAAACTGAACCCATTAGGAACACTGTAACATTCATGTTAATTAAAATAAACTAACCAAAAGTGTGAATAAACTGATGATAGTAACTAGCTCGTCAGTGCTGCAACTTGCTTAACTAAATGATTACTGGAGTTCATCAATTCAATTTCTCAATTTCTTTCTTTATTATGCACCCCATACCCATCCATCCCGAGCCCATTATGTGCTTGTGTAACATTTCCCACCACCATTTGCTGGATGAGTATGGGTGTAAGTAACCGGACTACACTAACCATGGTACCAAACAACACAATCATTTATAACTGTCCACTACAAATCCGTGTCTGGCAAGCGGTCCCACCTGATGCCAGGAACTTTAGACAAACAAAATAAATATACATTGTCTTATAGATTCGGATTTTTTAACTTATGTTTACGTTAATTTTCCAATTATTTTTAATCTCCTTAACTAGTATCCACTCAGATGTTCTTAAAGCAGTATCTATAATTTTACCACACTTAGGCCTATGAAGCGTCGGTATTATGATACTTTTAACAATTATGTGTATTCACCAATTGATGGGCTCCATCTCTTGGACCCCGTCTTTCCAACAGCCAGTTGTCTAGTGCAATGATTCCTAACCTATTTTCTCTACCATACCTACTATAGTTCAACTACTGATCACTCTTAGGATGAAACCCACAGTAGCTCTCCAACTTTCAGCTACATATTTAATACTAGCTTAACAGAAGCATCAGATGAAAGGACACGCTGCCCAAACCCTTCCGTTCTGCTTGCGAGGGTCGAACCCGCAATTCTCGGTTTGGGACGACGACTTAGTCTACTGTGTGCGTGCGTGCATGCACCAACGCGCATGCCATGCATCATGGGAAGAAGTAAGAGGGTGAGAATATGAGAGTTAGGATGTATGGACTCACCTGTGGGTGTGGAGGATCGAGGACTTGCCTCTGCACTGGAGATCAGCAGGTTTACCTCTTCAGGAAGCTTCATCCCTCAGATCCTGCCCGTTGGCACAATACTCCTCACTACCAGGCTAACCAATCACGCTGCAGGAATGACAGCAGGCTTGTTGAGCAAATTAAATAATAATATGCAAGCCAAGCTCACATAAATATGAACATTAAGTCCTGACGAGCCTAATAATTCTTACAAAATCGCGTTAAATATGATTAAGTTATTTCAGAGCCGTCACTGAAGCTATGTTTATTTATTTATCACTGAAACTATATTTAATTATTTATTTATTTATTTACAATACGGGACATGGGATTGATAAAGTACGTACATTGGTGATTGTTGTATTTTTCCAAAGCCATTAAACACACACAGCGATTCGGACAGGTCTTTCAGTTTGTCAACAAATATAATATTAGGTATATTGTAACAGAATTTGAATTTAATACAATAACTACAGTATAAATTTATAGAATAGTTTATACTGGTGAAGTTGCATGTCTTTAGTAATTAATAAATTGGATGAGTGGTAAAACAAAAAAATTTCCTTTACTGAATCCATGTTGATATCTTGGAGGTAAATATTATATGTTGTAAATAATCGACGATCCTTCTTTTGATTAGTCTCTCTAAAGTCTAATATATTACAGAGAATACTTGTTAATGATAGTAGTCTGTAGGTCAGTGGCTCCTTTCTTCGTCATTTCTGTTATAAAGGTATACCATATATGTCACTTTCCAAATGTCAAAAGTTCCTCCATATTTAGTGAGGAGTTGAAGGTTTTAGCAAGAAGTACACGCAATGCTGCAGCTGCCTCTTTTAAAATCCATGTTAAGATCTTGTCTGGGCCTGTGACTTTCGCTACCTTTAGCTCCTCTAATGGTTTCTTTACTTCATTTGGTGTTACTTATATTGCAATCAGTCTTTCTTCTGGTAGCATCTCTTCCATTAGAAAGCATAAATCTGGGGTCAGTTTTGGTTCAAACTTAAAAACTTCCTGGAAGATTTTATTCAATTCTTCACACATTTCTTTATCATTCTTTGTGTAGCTTGCTCGTCTTTTGCGTAGCCTGATCACATGCTCATTTACCGACACCTTCCTCCTCATGTGGCTATATAAAAGTTTAGCCTGATCTTGGCCTTGGATGCCATGTCATTTTCATAGTGCTTCTCTGCTGCTCTACGAATTCCTATGTATTCATTCCTCTCTCTTGTATGTATGTTGTGGTTCTCTGTTCTGTGCTCCCTGTACTTTTGCCAAGCTCTTGTACTCTTCTATTTGCCTCAAAGCATTGCCTATTAAACCAAGGCCAATTTTTTTTCTTGGTTGCTTTATCCCTTGGGGGTGGTATAACTCCTTTCAGCGTCTTTGCATTGCCTAGTTATGAAATCCCTTGTGTTGTTCTGTCTCTCAGCTCTATTACGATGATATTCTGTCCAAAATTTCTCTGAGCTTCTGGTACTCACTATTATGGAAAGAGTTTTCCACGCCTTTCTTCTCTTCCTCTTGCTACAACTTTCATGACAACTAGATAACCAAAGATTAGTACACAATGGTCACTCGCTCCAAATGGCATTTCATGCTCAATGTTCTCAATGTCCATTTTGCTTTGTGTGAAGATTACGTCCAGTCTTGCTGGTTGGTTTCCCCCCTCGTCTTTGTGTTTCTTCCCTAACATGTTGTGTTAGGAAGTTTCTCTCTGCAACTTCTACCAGTTTTGCTTTCCATGTTTCTCCTCCCTTTCTTGGATCCATTTATTCCCAATCAATTTGCACATGTTTTTTATTTCCCATTACCTGTAGCTTTGCTCTCAATCTAAGGGATAATTCAGCCACTCTTTGCATGATATGTATGCAAGCTCTGTTTGCATTCTTGTGTGTGTGTGTGTGTGTGTGTGTGTGTGTGTGTGTGTGTGTGTGTGTGTGTGTGTGTGTGTGTGTGTGTGTGTGTGTGTGTGTGTGTGTGTGTGCGTGCGTGTGTGTGTGTGCGCGCGCCCCCTTTCCCTACCCAACGATCGATTCAGTCTTCCTCATGACAGCCAATGATGTATGAGGGGTCGCTTTAACCACCTTGAGTTTGTGTACTGGCCTATCTATACTTTCCTAACTGTACCTGCGGGTCAAATTCCAGTTCCTGAGCCCAAAACTTTTATTGTTGGTGATGCGATGCGATGATTCCCGACTCAACTGTCGCTACTCATCTCTGCTTCTCTAGCTTTACACTAAATTAACCTCAAATATTAGTTCCGCTAAATCATGCAACTTACCTCATTTACATTAAATGTTTTTTTCGGCATCAATACTATTTATTGCTAGGTGAACAGAGGCATTAGGCGAAAGGAAATATGCCCAACCATTTGTGTCCCTTCCGGGATTTGAACCCGGGATTCCCGATTGTGAGTCGAGAACGAACCCGACTGTTACCAGTGTGTACTTCAGAGGTTAGTTGAGTGTGATGTTCTGAGGTCGATGATTGATTGATGAAGATTAAGCCACCCAAGAGGTTGCACGGGTATGAATAGCCCGTGATCCTCAGGTCCTTGTCAAGCACAAGGGATATTCACCCATTCACCCCTTCATCTCTCTCCTCTCTCACCCCTTGATCTGCCTCTGCCCTCACCTGTCTCCCTTCTCGAGTCATGACGGGGTGAAATCCGCTTAAATCTCTCTCTCTCTCTCTCTCTCTCTCTCTCTCTCTCTCTCTCTCTCTCTCTCTCTCTCTCTCTCTCTCTCTCTCTCTCTCTCTCTCTCTCTCTCTCTCTCTCTCTCTCTCTCTCTCTCTCTCTCTCTCTCTCTCTCTCTCTCTCTCTCTCTCTCTCTCTCTCTCTCTCTCTCTCTCTCTCTCTCTCTCTCTCTCTCTCTCTCTCTATGTTATACTTTGGTTTACCTTCCAGATTTGTATGTATATTATTACATTAAATGTATCAATTCCCTTTTACATTTCTATACCATATTAAAACCTTCATATGCACTACCATAGCCCCTATAAACATGGACTATCATATAACCTCCTTACAATGGACTATTATATTAGTCCTAATAACCGGGGGATCACCAAAGTTATCCCCCATAACCATGGACTACCATGTTACCCTTATAACCATGGACTACTCCTATAACCATGGACTACCCCTATAACCATGGACTACCCCTATAACCATGGACTACAACCTGCAATCACCATTTCCCTCGTCCTGTCAAGGGCTTGAAATTAATCAGAGGTGCTCATTACTCATCAGACTCTCGAGCGGGGAGTAATGAGATTGTGAGAGAGAGAGAGAGAGAGAGAGAGAGAGAGAGAGAGAGAGAGAGAGAGAGAGAGAGAGAGAGAGAGAGAGAGAGAGAGAGAGAGAGAGAGAGAGAGAGAGAGAGAGAGAGAGGGGGGGGGGAGATGAGGGGCGAGGGAGGATGAAAGGAAGCAAGAGATATTTTGTTATTCTGTACTTCAAACTACAGCGACATTTTTAGTTTCATAATTCTTTATCTTTTACTTTAATTGTTCAATTATCTATTTATTTAATGCGAATTTACGGTGTTTGATTTAGTCAGTCCTTAGTAAACGGAAATTGAGCCTCGCATAACACCTCTCCTTTCCTATGCTTCACGGGTGGAAGTTGGATGAGGATAGCCTCGAGCGTCTGCCCTCCTACTCTGGACAGACAGACAGTCAGTGAATGTAACACTCTAACAAGTCCACTACGGGCTCACCATAGCCCGTGCTACTTGCAACTTTTTGTTCCCAGTAGCTGAATCTAAAATAACAACAACTACACTGTAAATTTAATGGCCTAAGCACTGTGTACATTATGTTTATTACCTTTAATTGGTTGTAACACCATAAAGGTGTTTAGTTGTGTTTTATTTAATATTTTACATAGTACATGAGTCAGTCAGACAGGAGAGGATAATAGATAAATTGACTGCTTAAATAGCGTGAATTTGATGGTGCCTTGCAGTTAAGTACTTATGGATTCAAAACCAGGGTATACAAATTATTGACCACCATCTATTCGTGTCGAAATTCTTATTCAGATAAAAAACTTCGTCAATGTTTGTAATTTTCGTGTATTAATCATTAAACTTATGGTGATATAAGTTTCTATGAAGTATGTAAAGCGTAGAGTTCCTCTTCATCTTTAGTTAGTGGAGTTCCTCTACACTATTACAGTGGATATAGTTTTATCTACCTCGTACAGGGAAGAATAATGTCAGTGGGTTCAAGAAACAATTATCGTTTTCTCAATAAAGCTGTGAATTATCATAAGCCACACGAGTTTAACAAACTTTACCTAAACTGACAATAACATAGAATAATCTAACTTGACCAAAAGCTTGTTTAGATTACCTCTCCCGGCCATAGCACAATTTACATAGGTTAAATAGGTTAATAAATTAGCATAGGTTAATTAACCCTATCATTGGGATATGATGGCAATCTAATTTCATCATAGTCAATAAATTTCGAAAATATGTTAATTTAGCTTGAAAATACGATAATCTTACCTGTAGATAGACTAATCCGATTCGAAAAAGTTAATCCAACTTACAAGTAGGCAACTCTAACATGAGTGGGTCCTGTAGCACAGTAGTCTACGTTTTCGGCTACAACCAAGGGTCCCGGGTTTGATTCTCAGGCGGGACAGCTATAGAGGGTTGGGCAAGTTTTCATACATATGATTCTGCTCACCCAGCAGTAAATATGGATACCCCGGGAGTTAGGCAACCGTTTTGAGTTCCATTTTGGAGAAGGTAGTTAGCATGGAATTTACATTTACATAAATGTTAAGCCATTGGCCTATATCCCTCGATAAGCGTAATTTGGCTTCCTGTCTCCGATAATGGAATACTAAATACTGTATATTGAACGAAAATGTTTCAATACAAGCAAACAAATATACACGCAAAGATATATTTACAAATGTTTCATTGTATTTTGAGCAACACAAAATCATTACTTACCTATATATACATTTATGAATATATGAATTATATCTGTGGTTATATTAATATTATTTTCTGTAATAATCGTTCTTTCATTTATGATCCTGACTAAAATATTCACAGCATTATGAAGTTAAACATGATATTCGTAAATACAGGCTAACTATAATGCACATTTGTTATATTTTCTGATATACACTTAAAAGATATTTTTGTTGTGTTCAAATTTATATATCCAATAGCACTTGTATCTGTTGTTCAGTTGTAGATAGCCGAAAGTATGATATGCAAATAGTGTCAGGGAAGGGGGAGGAGAGGATGAAGACAACCTCCTCCCGCGGCGTCAAACAGCACACTGACCCCAGACGCCTTTGACACCCTTAAGTGCCTCCCACGCAACCATGGGTCGCCATAGGTGCCACTGAACAAACTGGTCGAGCAGAAGTGCTATCAACTCATCAAATTTGATATCACCTATTATTTGCAAGATATCAGCCAATGATATTCCACTCTATTTGCACCTTCAGATGCAAGTCAGAAGTCATACACATCTAGCAGAAAAAAATAGTTCCGAAAATCTAATACTTATCAAAGCAACAAAACTTGACACTGTTGATTATGGAGATAGTGAGTCACAATAACGTGGCTGAAATATGTTGACCAGACCACACACACTAGAAAGTGAAGGGACGACAACGTTTCGGTCCGTCCTGGACCATTCTCTGGACCATTCAAGTCACCTGGACAATTATCGACTTGAGAATGGTCCAGGAAGGACCGAAACGTCGCCGTCCCTTCATTTTCTAGTGTGTGGTCTGGTCAACACTATTGATTATTTTATAAATAATCTACGGGCACATGTTGTTGTTGTTGATTTAAGGTCGACGACGAAACTAGAAGTATGCACCCTGCCGAACAGTTTACCTTTATTATAAGCTTATTTAGTATTTCATTAATTATTATATATAATTCAATATACCCTCTGATTGAAGTAGCCTGCATGATTACTTGCGATCGTCATTTTGAGAGTATACATATAGTTTCTTGGATACATTATTCATATATTTTTCCCCTTTATCAAGTTGGAAATAATACACAGTATATAATCGAGAGGAAAATGATGTGTCATGGCACTCCTTGACTTGTAATCCGCGCCCGGGGGACCCAAGACCTACCTGAAGGTTAAGAAATGGCTGCTCATATTTAGATTTCAAGGATATGCTAATTTCAATTGGGTATATTCTACGTATGATCGTTTGAAAATAATAGGCCTGCTACTATCTCTTTTCTGAGAATAAATCCGTAAACATAAAAGGAAAGTTAGCATTTAAGACGCCACACAAAACGTTGTAAATTGTTATATTATTAATGATCGGCATCAGCCTTCCTAACAATATCCTGTTTGTTTAAGGCTATATTATTCCACAACTCCTGACTTAAACAATAAAACACAAAGCATATATTTAAAAAATTATGCACTGCCAATTTATGTTCAGTTACTGTAAGTAAAACAATTAGCAACAGTTTCTTGACAAGTTTTTCATCTTAGGAGCGGAGAAATTAAATTGATATCCGCGGCTGTGGGTCTTCGGGCGTCAGCCAATCAGAATGAAATATGTCCATAACGTCACTATCTCCCAAATTTTACAGTTTGGCGAATATATGGTAATGAGAGTATTTACGAGTTAATCAACACCTGTATAGCCCAAGCTTGGGCCATGTGCGTGGAGCGTGGGAGTCAAAAGAACAAAGGTTGGGTGTGGAGGAACGCGAACATAAGTTCCGTGCGGGTGGAGCAAGACGCGCACCCAACATGGGGCTATAGCGAGCAGCTGATTCTCGGCCACAAAGCTGGGAGATGATGCGTACATCAGTAATTTTGCCCTTGTGAGCCCTCCCTTACCACTGGCCAACCCCCAGACTCGCTAGAATGCAAGAACACAAGTGTCTTCCGACGTAGTGGGTAACTAGAAAGCGAAATGCCCAGGACAGTGACGCTTTATAACGGTGATAAGAATGCAATAGAGGATTGTGTGGTTGGAGTGGAGAAGCTTGACGGAGTGACAGGACTCGGGGGAGAAGGTTGTGAGAAAGTGACATCTTCTATGACGACCACAGAGAACAACGACAACAAGCTGGCCATGGCTGTAGAATTTGACCACATGTATATAGGATGCTCGGACTCTAAGGCATCCATTGGAAAAGATATCGAAGTGCAGCACCTCAAAGATCTTCTCTTATTGCACTTGGACTTAATTCAGCAGCAAGCTGAACAGTTGGTAGCCAAAGACAAACAGATTAAGAGTCTTAGAGACGAAAATGAAAACGTAAGTTGGAATTTGAATAATGTTGAAATTTTAAATACCTGTGTATTGTTTACAAATTTGTGTAATAATATACACGTTTTGGCGTAATGTCTCCTGTATTTGACGAACAACAAAGTATTTTAGCGGAGCTAACCTTTGACGGTGGAGTGTGTAAGAAAGGATACTAAGAAGGGGTAGGAGGTGAAGGAGAATGATAATGTTTATTGTGGTGGCCGTCGCCATGCCATCATGGCCGTTGAGCGTAGTAGAGGAGTAGTAGCGGAGGGTCAAGCGAGCACCCGCTACTACACCACCCACACTCTCCCTAATTGTCACCACACCCTCACTCGTCAAGAACACCCTGGCAGCTCCTCGGGGGGGTTTATGACGGGGTAAATAGAGAGGTGTGGTGTAATAAGTGGAGTGTTGAGTGTGTAGCGAGTGTTGGTGTTGTGGTCATGAATGGCGGGAAGGAGTCAGCTGATCGTGATGGACGGCCCGCGCCCACCTGGCTACTATGGCCACACTTTACTACACTAACTCTCACTCTCCCTACCCCTTCACCATCATGAATCCCTTCAAATATATCCACACTATTATCGTCTTAATAGTTGACACAAATGTCAAAGCAATATTAGGAATGAAAGCAAGAGCTCTGCCATTGGGGTGATTTGAGGTTTGAATAATCAACACTTTAAATCACTATAACATCAAATACATTTGATATGGCAATCTGCTTTTGTAGTAGATATGCAAAATTCTTATTATTTCTACATTTTCCACTGTTTATGCACAAATTTAATATACAAAAATATAGTTTAATTGAATTTTTCAAAAGATTTTAAAATACAGTACAATACAGTACTGTACTGATCAACAGAACACAACTCAAATACAGTATAATATTATGATATTGAGAACCCATTTCCTTTCAAATTATAAGTTTAGAGATTTAATTTTAAATAAAGTTTGCCTTAGTGATGAAAGTAAGGCTCTGTGCTTTTAAGCTAGCTAATAAAGTACATAAACTACAACCTAGCTACTGTCCTCTAAGGTAAGATGTCCTTTCATGAGAATCAAGATCATGACCTTTCAGCTGTGATCCAACTGCACTTCACACTGCACCATGGTTCTTGAGACATTTAGGCCCCCATAGGCCCCATTTAGGCCCCCATAGGCCCCATTTAGGCCCCCATAGGCCCCATTTAGGCCCCCATAGGCCCCATTTAGGCCCCTATAGTCTCTGGCTTGGTGCCTTCTTATTTATTTATTTATTTATTTATTTATTTGTTTTTATTTATTTATTTATTTATTTATTTATTTATTTATTTATATATTTATTTATTTATTTACTTATTTATTTATATTATATATATTATATATATAATATATATAATATATATATTATACTATATAATATATATATATATTATATATATATATATATATATATATATATATATTATAATTATTATATTATATATTATATATATTATAATTATTATATTTATTATATATTATATATATATTATAATTATTATATTTATTATATATATTATAATTATTATATTTATTATATATATTATATATATTATAATTATTATATTATATATATTATATATATATATTATATAAATAAAAATAAATAATAAATGTTTATTTAGGTAAGGTACATACATACAAGAGATTTTACAAAGAATGATGCACTTATAGATATGGCTAGTACATACAATGCCTAAAGCTACTATTATGCAAAGCGTTTCGGGCATGAAATATTCTTTTATATTCTTTTATTCTTTTTCTTCTTTTATATAATATATTCTTTTAATAGTTACTTACTCTGTATCCATACATCTTTAACAAGTTTAAGTACTGCAGCTGCATTAAAATAATGCCCATCTGTGTTTAATCATCAACTGATCAAAATCCTACAGGCCTATAGATTTTGCCTTAACTAGATCAACAGTGAACGTGCTCTGATACCATACAGTAGAGGGTTTTGTTAGTTTGTTGATCGGTTATTTGTAGGCTAAGCTGGCCCGGTGCTTCCTTTCTGTTTGTAGGCTTAGAACAAATAAAAAGTAATCATTTATTACTTGTAAATTATGACAACATTGCTTTGTTACCCATTAGTATTTTATTTGCTAAGTATGTCATGTCCTGTGTATGTTTGAATTCAACTAATATTTTTGCAACTGATAATAGTCTGCATTTAATAAAATAATTTTAAGGGATTTCAGCTTCTTCCTGACCATCACAATTTTAATTTAAGGTAAAATTAATGTTGAATATTTGTTAAATGGTATTGAATTTTTACCAGGACTGCTTTTAAGGTACAAAATACACAATTTAAAACTTTTTAAGTTTTGTACAGTACAGTACTGTGCTAATATTATTGTATTTAAGCTTGTACTTGTAATTAGTTTTGTAGTTACATGTACTTTTGCTGTCATAGGTCTTATATTTGCAGTTGCGGGCTAAATTGGAGCGTATGGATAGGAGGGTTTCCCTTAGCTTGCATAAAAAACCAAGTGAAGCATCTACCAACACAGAGAGTGGGACAGAAACAGCATCAGAAGCACCACCTCTCACACAGACCAATCATGAGTCTCCATCAGAAAAATCTGTAAATGTTGATCCTCTTCAGAACACACCAGGATCTCCATGTAATAAATCTCTCTCTTCATTACTTCCAAACAAAGCTGGATCTCCCACTTTTAAAACTATATCTCCTTCTAATAAAGATGGATCACCAACCAATAAAATTGGGTTTCCTGGGAGTAAAACAGGGTTGCCCTCTATTAAACCTATATCACCAAGCAATAAAGTTGTAACTGCAATAACTAAAAGTATTATCCCCTGCAGTAAACCTGCATCTCCACCCAGTAATACTTTATCACCATGTAGTAAGCCTGATTCCCCTTCCAGTAAAATTGGATCCCAAAGTAGTGAAACAGAGGTCCCTATAAACAAGATTGTTTCCCAATATAATAGTATTGTGGAAACCATTGACAATAAAGTACTCTCTCCTAGTAAACTTAGTTCCCCGACTAACAAAGTAGTACCTAGCAAACCTGTGCCCCCTTGTACCAAACCTGAGCTCCCTTGTACCAAACCTGAGCCCCCTTGTACCAAACCTGAGCCCCCTTGTACCAAACCTGAGCCCCTTTGTACCAAACCTGAGCCCCCTTGTACCAAACCTGTGCCCCCTTGTAACAAACCTGTGCCCCCTTGTAACAAACCTGTGCCCCCTTGTACCAAACCTGTGTCCCCTTCTAATAAGCCTGCTCCACCTTGTAGCAAACCGACCCCCCCTTCTAGCAAATCTGCCCCCCCTTCTAGCAAACCTGCCCCTCCTAACAAATCTGATCCCCCTTCTAGCAAACCTGCCCCTCCTAGCAAATCTGACCCCCCTTCTAGCAAACCTGCCCCTCCTAGCAAATCTGACCCCCCTTCTAGCAAATCTGATCCCCCTTCTAGCAAATCTGATCCCCCTTCTAGCAAATCTGACCCTCATTCTAGCAAACCTGACCCTCCTTCTAGCAAATCTGACTCCCCTCCTGGCGGCAAACCTGCCCCTCCTGGCGGCAAACCTGCCCCTCCTGGTGGCAAACCTGCCCCTCCTGGTGGCAAACCTGCCCCTCCTGGCGGCAAACCTGTTTCTCCTGGCAGCAAACTTTCCCCTCCTGGTGGCAAACCTGTGTCTCCTGGTGGCAAACCTGTGTCTCCTGGTGGCAAACCTGTCTCTCCTGGCGTCAAACCTGTCTCTCCTGGTGGCAAACCTGCCGCTCCTGGTGGCAAACCTGCCGCTCCTGGCGGCAAACCTACCCCTCCTGGCGGTAAACCTGCCCCTTCTGGCGGCAAACCACCTGTCCCTCCTGGCGGCAAACCATCTGCCCCTCCTGGCGGCAAACCTGCCCCTCCTGGCGGCAAACCACCTGCCTCTCTTGGCGGCAAACCTGCCTCTCCTGGCGACAAACCTGCTCCTGCTGGCGGCAAACCTACCCCTGCTGGCGGCAAACCTGCCCCTGCTGGTGGCAAACCTGCCCCTCCTGGCAGCACACCTGCCCCTCCTGTTGGCACACCTGCCCCTCCTTGCAGCAAACTTTCCACTCCTTGCAACAAACCTTCCCCTCCTTGCAGCAAACTTGTGTCCTCTTTTAATAAAACTGTATCTGCTAGTGGCAAACCAGTTTCTACTTGTAGCAAACCAGTTTCTACTTGTAGCAAACCAGTTTCTACTTGCAGCAAACCAGTTTCTACTTGCAGCAAACCCATTTCCACTTGTAGCAAACCCGTTTCCACTTGTAGCAAACCTGTTTCCACTTGTAGTAAACCCGTTTCTAACTGTAGCCAACCCGTTTCTACCTGTAGCCAACCAGTTTCTACCTGTAGCCAACCAGTTTCTACCTGTAGCCAACCCATTTCTACTCGTAGCCAACCCATTTCTACTCGTAGCCAACCCAATTCTACTTGTAGCAAACCAGATTCTACTTGTAGCAAGCCCATTTCTCCAACTAGTAATTCTGTGCTCCCTGCTGTCAAACCCATGTCCCCGGTCAGCCAGCCCGTGTCCCCGGTCAGCCGGCCTGTGTCCCCAGTCAGCCGGCCCGTTTCCCCAGTCAGCCGGCCCATGTCCCCGGTCAGCCAGGCCTTGTCTTTATCTAGCCAACCTTTGTCTCCATCCAACCAGCCAGTGTCCCCAGCTGGCCAGCCTGTGTCCCCTAGTAGCAATCCTCTATCCCCGTGTAGTAAACCTGTTGCCTCAAGGAACAAACCTGTGTCCCCAAGTAGCAAGCCTGTATCTCCTTGTAGAAAGCCTTTATCCCCTTCTACTAAAACAGGATCTCCTTCTGGTGAAGTAGTCTCTCCTCCTTCAGGTAAACCAGGGTTGCCTTCCAATAAAGTTGCCTCACCTCCTAGTAAAGCCACATCCCCCCCACTCAAAGCAGTGTCCCCAAGAAATAAATCTCCTATACCCCCTAATAAATCTGTAAAAATTGAAGTGACGAGAAAACCCTCACTGAAGGCTGCCACACCAAAGAGCTCACCTCGAGAGAAATGCCCAAGAAGAGAAACAACTGAAAGTCTCCTGGGTGAAAATGATTGTGATACAGAACCAATATTAGATCAGCTTAAGAAGGAAATACCTAGGAACATTCAGACAAGAGACAGACACAATTTGAAACGCAAATCTGAAAGTGAGAGTGAGATATCTACCAAAAAATTTAAGCTGGATGAACCAACTGAATCCAGTGGAGCGACTGATCACAATTTGAGATCACGGGACAAATCTAAGGAGAAAATTAAAGATATAATCAAGCAGAGTTCTCCTATCCCTACGGCTGACCGGCCTGCCACACCAACGTCTCGAGCAGCAGCACTAGAAGCCAAAAAATTGCGCCAAAAACTTCTCCTTAAAGGTAAATATTTGATTGTTCTGTATATAAGAACTGACTCATGATTATTCATTGTATATAGGCCTATGGATGGAGTTATGAAAAGGGTCAAAATTAAAATATTAAAGAAGGGGTGTGTGAAGATAGTATATTGCAGAATTAAATGGAATCCCTGGTACATGTACTGTACTATACAGTTTATCAAACTGTTGTACTGTATGTGAGTGATATTTCCAACAGAAAATGAAATACCCTGTATTGTACTACTGTGTAAGAGAATTGAAAGTTTTGTTTGAATGTGAACATGGGTCGAGTAAACGAGAAATTTGGTGTAAAATTACTTCGGTGAGTACAGGTGCAGATGGCATTCAACTAGTCTGCAGGATAAGAGCCCTCTCTATCACAGTTCATTTTAAAACCAATTATTCTACAGGTTTTCCCCAAAACAATATCTGCCAGTTGTTTTTACATCATGGTCTTCAATTTACTAATGCACAGGTGTGAACAACAAAGAAATTGGCTAGTTGTACAGTTCTGCCCGGGGTTAGATCCTGGAATAGCTCACTTGCTAGGCGAGTGGGCGAGGACAGCAACCCTTGCAACTAAAGTTTTTTTTGGATCTGTATGATTGACTGGAAAAATACAAATTTAAGACTATAATGAGTTGGATAAAACAGTGGCTGGTACAATAAAAGACCTGGTTAGGAAAACTAGATAAGATAGGATGCAGCTAGAGGCATGTATGATGTGTGAAACACTGGTTTGCAATTATTTTTTGGAAAATAAAGGAGAGTAGTAGAGAAGAAAACATCTACAGGTGAGTTTAGTGGTAGGGTAATGAGATGGATGGGTGACAAGCTGGGAAGAAACGGTTAGAGAACTGTGGCATGCATGCGAGCAAAACATGCAAAATTATACAGAATTTAACTGAAAGCAATATGTTGGTGATGGGGAAGGGAATGAATGAATATACTGTACAGTAATCATATTTGTGACACGTCATGTAGAAAACTTACACAAACTAGGCATATGCTGGAAGCCTAAAGTGAAGAAGGGGGCATGCCGCCTCTTATTATATATATCATAGTTATTGTGAAGAAAATATAAGAACAGTACTAGGAACCCACCACAGGTGTGTTTGCCTTTAGTCCATTAAAAAGTTTATCTTGCTCAGGATATAGCTAGCACAGTATGGTAATAGTTTCTCATGATGCTGATAGTGTGAGAAAGGCAGGAAAGGTATAGACCTGTCTAACCCTTTACAATACTTTGCCTTAATTTCCTGGTGTAAGTGCTTTCCCGTTCCCATAAAGTGGAAAATGTTTTACATTGTATTTATAATCAAATACTGCATATGCTCTTTGTTATGTTGTTGTGCTTTAAATACTACAGTATTTAACAAAATTTAAAATTTTTGTTTTGTGAACTTCAATTATGAATGTAAGCATTTTGTGCTCAGTGAAGTGTTCTTTTTGCGAGTATCTTGCATGAGAAAATCTGCTTTTAATGGAAGATTGTTCATAATAGACAGGTAGATATTGGAATCTTTATGTAGTGCTGCTTTATACAAATTAAATTTTGTTTGTGTAACTCGAGTCTTTACTGAATCAACGAGTCATAATTTAATATCGTGTCTAATACAAATCAGACATTCTCATGTTTGTCAGTGGCATGGCTTTTATTGTCTTACAATTATCTTAAGAAACTTTTTAGCTTTTAAAAAATTTAGTTGGAATTAAGTATCTTTGTTGTTTTAATTCCTGTAGAACTTTTTTTACTTATACCAGATATTAAAAGTTTTCCTTAAAATTAGTGAAAACCAAAAAAAAAAAAATTCATCCTTGCCAGTGCAAAATATATGCTTGGATGAGCAGTTGTAAACAGCTCAGCCATATTAGGAACAGATTGCAAGGAACCTTTTATTTTTATGGCAGACTTCAAGAATGTACAGTATATGACTGATTGCACAGGCAAGACTTGAGAGAAAAAAAAAAGCTTGCCTTAAGGGAATGAATTAGTCAGTAGTTGTGGTTGATGTATTAAATCTTAACTTTGTTTTCCTGTAATCTAGAGCGTCCATCCAGAGGACAACCGTGTGGTCAGAAGAGAGGTAACAAGACCAGTGATGCTAAGTGGATAGTTCTGCTTTCTTATGATTTCTCATAAACTAATGAATGGGCAGCACTCTTTGTGCACTTGCTTTTACATTTGTTAATGTCTCTCTCATGTTGACTTTTCACACACAAAGGTGGTTACTTGTGGTTACTTACTTTTCTGAATGCCTCTTAGATCAACTAGTGTCTGCTTTGCACAATACAGTTATAGTATCTCAAATACAGTATTTTACAATTATTTTTAAGCACATTGCTGTCTCTTTCTTAAGAGTGGTAGAGATTTCACAAGATTATTATTTTATTATTCAATAGTTATGCAGGTAAGTTAATGGTTGTGATGTGGTGATACACCAAAAAGTATATTAAAGTAATTAGTGTTGCAGGACTCAGTTTCAATTAAATAATTTTTTTTTCCAACATGTAACTATTTAATGATTATGAAAGTTCAAATATTATTAAGCCCACAGATAAATGAAATATGAAAATATGATAACAGTTCAGTAAGGTCAAGACCATTATCAAGTCAATCAAGTCGACTTAATAATGGTGCAGAGTGGACCGAAATTGTCTTTAATCACGGGTATCATGTAGGGGATGTGTTTTTGTTCTAGTCCTGGTACAGTATTGTGACTTATTCCAAAAATGAAAGTGATTGTAAATAAAACTTTGGTCATAAGTTTTGATGTACAGTACTGTATATAAATGTATTGATTTTGAGTATTGTATCCTTAGTGAACTTGACATAGCATGCATAAATATTCACATTACAGGTTGTACTGTTCAGTACTTGATTGAATTATTGGTTCTAAAACAGTAATCATTAATTGCATCTGCTGTATTATGAATGTACAGTGCAAAATATTCAATACAAAAAATAACTGCATAATACTGTATATACCAATTTTAGTCATAGCACTGTCCCCATTCATTCCATGTCTTCTTGATTAACATATGCAATATAATTGTTATGTGAAACCACTAATATGCTGTAGAAAATTTTGTACTGTATTACATAGTCCAAAGTGGTTGAATTCCCTTAATTTATTATCATAATTATCATACTTAAAAATATTGACACTGGAAATAAATATAACATGCCTCTTCTTTAACTCTTTTGTTGTGATCATTTCCAAATCCTGTAACGTTTCATCAGACATCTAGCTTTCTAAATCAGAGTTTGGATATAATACATCATGTTATCTGTCGACTACTGAAGTAAATTTCACCCCAAGCAGTAGATAAAAAAAAAAAATCAAATTCCCACATTCATGTCTTTCATCTATTTCTCAAATATAAAAATTCAACGTACTGCAATTAAATTATATTTGTGTTGTTTTGTATATTGTTACATGTTGCGCAAAATGGGGGATAGAGGCAGATTAATTTTTTGTTGTATTTTGTGATACGTCTGCAATGTTTCTCTTGTATTAAGGACGTGAGCCACACAACGAAGGTTTACCCCATCTACTGTTATTGAATTTCCCTTTATCCCATTTTCCTGCTCTTCGTACACTAGTGCTCTTGAGATCGATGGGTTGAAATCTGCCAAGTGTTGACTATTCTGTAGTTCTGACCAAACCTGTATGTGCTGCCTTTCCTTTGAGACTAGCATTTTCATGCCAGAGCTTTATGCACTTTTGTACGCTCTATGGCAACTGTTTCTCTCTCTCCCCCCCCTCCAAATACTGTTTGTGTTTGACTCTTGCAGTCCCTTGTGACTCATTTAGTATTTTATCCCTTTTCAGCCTGTTGTAGTTGAAATCAATACAGTACTGTACTGGTTTTTTCTCATCTTCAGCAGATTTAAGGATATCCATGGTATTGAGGATAACAAATTGCATACTGGCGTTCTTAAATGTGACTTAGCCCCTGGCCATCCTCTCAAGACCATAATATGGACAGTGGAAGTGGAAAGCAACTTTTGACTAGGCTGTGCATTGGCCATCCATGCTTAACACAAGGCACTTCATAGAACAATGCACTGCTCCTTACTGCCTGAGCTGCGTTGTGCCATTTACAATCGCATACCTCCCTGTACAATGTCCTGATTTTCAAGATCAGAAATCTTGCCGTCTCAATGTCCCTTTGATTTGTTTGTCCCTTGATAAAATCTTTGGTGAATTAAATATTTTTTTGCATTACTCCTTTTGTGTTCTTTTTGCTCTCATATTAACTTCTTTAATGATATCTAGGACATTATTACTGCTTTGCACCAGACAGTGCTAGTCTTCAAGTTTGAGTGCCTTACCTGGAGAGAGTTCTAAGAGTTCTTGTACTCCTCGAGCCAGGCCTGGGGCCAGGTTCGCCTTTGATGATTACCGTACGGTCATTATTGTTTAAACTGCATTGTCCCGCTTACTGTCGTAAACATCATTAAATGTCCTGATTTTCAGAATGATCTCAAGTCTTGCTTTGTTAATGACACTTGCTCTTTGATCGAATCCTTGGTGAATCCAGTGCTTTTGACATCACCATGTCTTGTTGTTTTTATCTTGTATTGGTTTCTTGAGTGATATTTAAGACCTTTTGAATATTCCATGTTGCAGACAGTGTTAAATAATATCCAGGAAGACATGTACATGGAGTACAGTACAGTATTACAAAAAATCAGCTATTCATTTTACTATATATTACAAATATTAAATTTAGCTTCATACAAATAAAATACAAATATTGCTACAATCAAGAAGCTGTAGTTATTATTGTTACATGAACCATGGTAGTAGTCAATTATTTAACAAGAATTCATTTATATTTAATATGGCCATTGCAGGCCAGCCTCCAACAGGAAGAGCAGTGCGAGGAGAAGGGATCCTGAACACCAGTGTGTCTTATTACCTTCCATATGGAATCTTAGTTGAGGATCCTAATCCTGAAGAGGAGTGTTTACAGGCACAAGTGGAGGTATGTAGAGGTACTCATATTAGCTGCATTTATTAGCATAACTTAAACTAGATTTCAGTAGTCAACAAGTACTGGTAGTTAACAAAAACTTAAACAATTCATTATGAATTCAGAAAAAAGTGAATGTTATTGTATTCTTCAGCACTTATTAAAATACAGTTGATTACTAGCTTTAATTTTATGTATGTCACTTGCTTCTTAAAAGTTTAGGTCTTTGTTAACCTTAAAGAATTTGTTCATACAGTGCAGAAGAAATATTCTAATTGAATACTGTGATTAGTTTTCTGGTTTAAAGGTAAAAAAAAAAAAAGAGGAGAATATATATGATGGTGCAGTTGTATTCATGCATGTGTAAATTAATGTATTTAATTAATAGATTCATCTTGATTACATTTAATTTAAAAATTTAGAGCAAGTTCTTGTGAAATGATTCTTTTTGTTCCCATGTGTGTGTATAAAACTGTCTGTCTGTCGGAGGTTGGTGGCCAAATGATTGGGGCTACTATCCTTATTAAACTTTACAGGGTGACTGGTGGGTATGGGAAGACTTGTCATGGGCAGGTTGGGGTTGGCCCCATTGCTCTGGTTCTTGTTGCAACCTTCATAAATTCTGTATTGATGAAATATTTGGTAACGAGTCCACAGAGTTTTACCGTATGTTTATAATTATACACAATTCAAAGTGATGTGTAAAACATGGCAGATTTGCATTCTGGAGACTCCCAACACTTAAATGACGCAGTCTTTTGGGGGTCAACTTGAGCACCACTAGATAACTCTTCTATTTGTCTGTAAATAAAAAGCCTCAGTAATAGGCTCTATGTATGTACACATGAAGAAAAATTTCAATGTACTGTACAGTACATTGCAGTACTATTCTATGCTTCTTAAATATAAAAGTAAAGCTTACCAATTGCCCTTTCACATTTGTTTACTCAAATTTATAAACATTTTACAAATATTCCACGTGTTAGTGGCTTTGTAATAGTGTACCAAATAATCATCAATACCTGTAATAATGTAACCCCATTGTGCCTTGTATACAAATAAATAAAATAATGTACTACTTAAACTTTTTTTTAATCCAGTTTCTTATTTTTTAGATTCCACGATGGGGAACACGCATATTAACCAGTCTCTATGTAATGGAAGGCACAGAAAACTTGGAAGATGAAGTTTTCCTAAAGAGACACGCTAAGCCTGAACAAGAGGAAAAGAGACGCAAGAGGTAATAAACTGAATATGAAATACACTGTAGTGTATTACATTATACTAGTGTACTAGACACATGCTAGTCCACGACATGGTCTAATGGATTGCAACCTGGAGTTCTACTGAGCTCACAAGGATTTCTTTCTTTAACTGGGGATCATTAGAGGTAGAATATTCCTGGATGACTGGGCCAGAGTGAATGGGGGGATTGTGTGGAAATCCTAGTCTAGCTTTAGTGGAAGCCTCATGAAACCCTTGTGAGCTCAGATGAACTCCAGGTTGCAATCCTTTTGACTGTGTTGTGGACTAGTCGACCGCACAGGTTCGAACCCTCATCACGCCTCCTACGGATTTTCTCATTGACACATCATTCAATGTGATTACATTGAATGATGTGTCATTCACATCATTTAATGTAATTAGTGTGATTACTCTCTATTCATTAAAATATAAAGTATCTATGGCCTTTAGTATCTTATGCCTTATTCTAGATCAAAGAGTATGGATACTAGCCATTTGCATGCAGCTAAAGTAGATTTGATATACCGGTACCTATAAGAACATAAGAATTAGGGATATAACTTCTTTTGATAGTTATATGCAAGCTTCTACACTCATAGAACATCATGGAATGACAACTGACTAGTTAAAGAAGTATAGGAAGTCTCAAATACAAATTTATCACGGGACCGGATAATATTTTACATGTACTGTATTTGCTCCACCATTGCTTTACAAGCTGAATTACATTGTCAAAAACATATTACAACCCTATTAGACACAATTTGATACATTTTATGCATGGGGTACATTTTTGTTAGACCACAACTCTGATAATAGCATATATGTAAGATATACAGTATAGTAAATATACATGATTGTTATTTTAGTATATCATGATTTCATTCCTTATGTTTCAATGGTTATCATTAGTTCTTCACCTGCAGCCAAAGCTTTCAGCACCTTAAAAAAGGATTTTCTTGTTGAGGATTAGCATTCCTGTATTTTTACACAAGGATATCTCCTTTGGGATTGACAACTGCAGCCACATTAAACTTACGATACAGTACACATATTCATAATATCTTGAAAATAGGCATAATGTTTTGTCATTTAATTTGTTACAGGTGGGATTTACAGAGAATGAGAGAGCAGCGTCATTATGAGCGTCTAAGAGAACGGTATGAAGGTCGACAAAATCCAAGCGAACCGGAAGTATCTGGGTACCGGTCATTATGGCCAAATCCTGAATCGGCTGTATATTTGCATGTAGACGATTGTCTACCTGTCTGTGCCTTTGGTCAGCCCATGGCTAGGATACCTCCTCAGTGAGTAATTATTTAAGTGATAATATATTCTTAAACTTTCTTTAAGCAAGCCTATTGATGCTCTACACCTAGAGATTTAATAAGGATGAGTGTGAATTAGTGATGCTAAAACAGATTTTGAGCCGTCTTAAAATCATTGCATGTACCTACAACTTTGCCACACTGGTGTTAATTCCAACTACAGTTATATAACAGAAACATAAGTAAGTCCAGTTTTCAATATTGTCTTTATGGGAATAAGTAAATATTTTTCCTCAGCTTTACAGTGTTTAAAACTTTTCCATTTGTTGTTATAGCTTTCACATGTTAATTTAGTAATAAGATCTTCAATTTAAAAAAATCTTCAACCTTACTAGAAGTACTGTATGTATGTATGTGTGTGTGTGTGTATATATATATATATATATATAATATTGTACTTCTAGTAAGTAACAAAATACAGAGAAATATTGTAAGAAAATAGGGCCAAATATAATATAAATAAGCAAATTACACAAAGTACTGTAATGGTAATATGTTGGCAAATAAATACTGTTAATCAGAACATGAAAGTAATGACAATTGATCCACAATGTTGCTTTCATGTGAGTAATGTGCAAGTTCTGTTTATTTGTTCATCGTTGTATTGTGGCATTTATTTTATTTTCTGTCTTTCTCCCCGTTCTTGCCAGGGAGTTTGTATTGCCGTGGTTATCCGGCCGCTGCCAAGATGGTATATCAACTCGCCGAAGAAAAAGACCGTAGAACTGTGTCCAGAAATTAATAAAACACAATAACATTTTCTTGTTATTTTATTTTTTGTTTTCAAACTTCTTTCTTCTGTCAAAATGCCTTTTAAGTATTATTTTATATTCACTTTTCTAATGGTATCATTTGTCATTTATAGAGCATCAAACACTCTAGACATCTAAGATATATATGTAGTGTCAAGATTTATTATTTTTTAAAAGATTTGTATAACCAGCTTATCACATGGCTTTGTACAAATTAACTTTTAAGTGACTCATATTGTGTCTAACTTGTGAATATTAACCAAAGTGAGGTAATTCATGAATGTATCATGAGAGTGCTTACATGGATCCATTAAGAGAGTTTGTTCAACTTTTTATCATGAAAGATGTTTGAGGGATGCAAATCAGTCTGAACTAGTCATTTGCAAATAGTTTAATACATATACCTAATTTTCAGACTGTCATCATCCTTACTACAGGTTTTAATGTCTAATATAGATCTTTCTACTTAAATTGTTTTATGAATACTTAAGATTTTATTTTAGCTTATTGCAAGAATTTCCTGCTCATCATCAAGTATTTAGAACAATTTAAATATTACCTCACTTTGGGCTAGCCCTATTATTAGGGGTTATTCTTCACAGGGTCTACAAAAACACTTGATACTTAATTTCAATAAAACAGTTTGCCAACATTTTTTTAATGTTCATGACATTGCAATATGGTTTGGATGTGAATATTTGAATTATATAATTCTTTTTACAATACCTGAATAATTTTTCACGTCGCTTAAAAATGAAACTGTATATAATAAGAGATCACATGGTCAGAACTTGATTTCAAAGATGGCTTAACGTATATTTTACTTTTATGCTGTTTCCCACGTCCTATTTTTCCACATGCTTCACTGGAGAGTACAATTGTTGAAAGGAATTTTAAAGACTAAATTTCTTGTTAAACTAGGGTAAAAAATACAGTATTGAATCATATTCTTGTTATTACTACCCAAAAATATGCCTTTTCCTCTGTTGAAAAGAACAGTATAAAGCCTAATTTTTGGCTGCTGTTCTTTTGCTATGATTAAAGTTGAGGGTAAACAAACTTCTGGTATGTCATACCATTGCTAGAAATGCACGCTATAGCTACATTCTATCTTGGAAATGCACTTCTATCATGGCTGAAAGGAAATGTACCAAGGTGGCAAGCAACCATCTTGCTGGCAAGTGACATTTGCCATCTCTGGGAGGAAATGAAACTGGTGTTTTAATTTGCATCTCACCTTTGGAAATACCTGAGTTGCAGAAAACCTTCCATGTGACGATATTGAGGTATAATTTACATCCATTCACTAAAACATCAAAATTATTGGGACCACTTAATGTTGTACTCTAGAAAATACATATTTAAGAGGAAGCTACATAATAATTTACACTAAGAAGACTGGTTCCAAATCTGCACACAGAAATAACACCACAAAACCAGAAGGCATGGCAGAATGTGTATACCAAGTAGCCCCGGTGAAAAGCACAGATGCACAAGGTGTGCACACAACTTGATCAACATCAAAGGCAAAGACTTCAACACTCCCTCTACACATATGAGGACATAACTGACCGACCTCTTATAGTGTTCAAAAGAATTTGATAAATACCTTCAAAGAATATGTGATTAACCAGGCTGTGAGCAGCTGCATTGAACAGCCTGGTTGACCAGACCAACCATGAGGCCTGGTTGGAGACCAGTCCGCAGGGACACTGATCCTCAGAATCATCGGTGTATACATTCCCTAGAAAGGCGAAGAATTAGGAGTGACATAATTGAAGTGTACAAGTAGATAAAATAGCATAACTGAGGATATTAATATGGGCATTGAATATATCGGTGCAAAATAGAACAAGAAACAATGGAGGTCTTTACACTTTAATTATGTGACATCAAAAGAATTAACACAGTACCTACAAAAAGCACTAAGCCCAGGTTATATAGCACCTTGTGTGTTATAGAATATTCAAGTGCCTAGATGATATTCAGGATGCCAATATTGGCAGCAAAAGATGAGATGAACAATATCAAAGTTGGCAGATTCACTGACGGGATGCTATTGAAGGACAACCTGACTTAAAAGTGCAGTGGAAAAGTAAAATTTATGATCCTGAAAATCAGGACATTTTATGTTGATATGTTAGCAGAACAGTGCAGGTTTCTATTCATTTAAGTGCCAAGTATGACCAAAGATATTTCCCCACTTCCTATTTCAGGGAGAGGAATGCAGCCACAGAGATTGATCATATTTGATAAATATTTTTAGTAGCATATCCACTATCTGCAACAGTTGCAAATGTGATATGAATGACATGAATCTCAAAGTAAGGATGGAGTTGACCCTGCCAAGGAAGTTTCTGGTGAGAGTAGGTCAGTAGGGTGAATCAAAGACAAAGTGGGGTCTGGGCCCACTGTAGTCAGATATATGGAGCCTGATTACTGTTCATCCTGAGGGTGTGGGCCTGACTGCCCACTCCTATCCCCTTCTATTTCCACACATAGGAAGGGATGTGTTGAAAAATCATCGTAAAATAATCTTAAATTAGACTTTACTACCCAGCACCCCCATCTTCCATGGAGACAAACAAGCACATGGGCAACCTCAAGTGTAACAAGGACAGTATAGTGGAACCTCGAGTGACGAGCGGCTCCAGTTACGAGCAAGCCACTTGCAAAAAAATGTCTCTGCTGACAAGCTTTCGTTCGATTAACGAGCGTTCCCGCTGGTTCTCAGACACCTCCGACAGTTTCGTTGTTTCGCAAGATGAGTTTTCCACATGACGAGCTCGGTGCCGAAACGGATTAAACTCGTTAATCTAGGCGCCACTGTATATACATAACCACTAAAAAGTCTGAATAGAATCTCAAGTACTGATAAGGATACCAACACTGAAATGCCCAATTGACCCAATATCCATCGAGAGCAGAGGGAATCAGGCGGGTCACATTGAACAACCCATTTTACCCGCTCCACTGCCACACCCCCCTCATCAAAGAAGTGTGTTGCCTTTTTTTTTTCAGTTGATTTTGCAGGATTCCTACTTTGCTACTAAAGAGGCAAAATATTTATGAATTCTGGTGTACAGAGGAACGAAGACAATTACTTACAATTGCTGTCAAAGCATGGGTTTGAAACACTTATCACTTCACCTAGTCACTGAAGCTGGAAGGTCTCTTCTGTCATGGGCATTATTTCTCATGTTGATGTTTTTTGGTGTTCCCTGTGGAGGAGCTGGGCGTGTATGTTCTCACTAATTTTGCATTAAAAAGTATTAAGATCATTGCAATGATGGAAATATGATCTGGGACTATTATAATTTCTGAACCAATATATTGAAATAAGGTATCTTTTTAACGACACTAGAACAACATTTTGCTCGTTCCTCAGACTACCGATTCATTGCTGCAAGGTTGAAACAATTCAATGTACAACTTCAGTGATTGATAAATCATATGAATGATCTAAATTAAAAAGAAGTTTCTACATTTATAATCAATCTAGTGCAGTAAAATTTGATTTTATAAAAAGCACTTATCTCTGTTTTTGAGTTTGACATTGTTGAAGTTCTTCAAAACTATTGGTAATTTGTTTGAGTTTTGTGAATTTGCTGTTATTCCCAATGATGTGAAATTCTACCACCACATATGGCAGTGGGAGGGAGAAACTAAGGTTAGAGGTTGGCATTCTGAAGTGTATAGCAAAGATCAATAGTACTGTACATTTAAATTAAGTCATGGAATGATGACCGAGCAATACCTGTTACATCATGGTAGCCTTTCCAGGCTGAGGTTCTGAAGCCTTAGTATTTTCTTTATGTTCATAGCTTCATATCAATCCAGATTAAGGTTTGGCATGCATTTTACTTTCCTTTTGGCCAGAAGAGGATTCATAAGCCATGGTTATTAGCCATCCTATGCATTAGCTGAGCATGCAAGTCACCCTACCATGACAAGGCAGTATTGTACCTATTTACTTCAGACCTACAGCTGAAGTAAATAGGAAGCAAAATATCGTCCAACTCTGAAGGGAATGCCTAACGTTTTGTAAGCTCACTCTGCAATACTTGCTATGCAAACCTTCTAGGGGGAAAAAATAGGTGTTTTTATGATGCCCTGGATGCTGATGGATAGACTAAGATACTTATTGAGGACAGAGGCTCAGTGATCCAGATAGGACTTTAGGTTCAAGATTAGAGCTTAAAAAATTAGGCAGGGAATTGGCTATTTTATATAATTTGCACAACTTTCACAAATTTGACTATATTCCTAATGCCCCAGAAAAATTATATTAAGATTGAGTGGGTTGCAGATGTTGGACAGCATTAGGTGTACTGTCCTGTGAAAATCCTTAATGAGTCATGTAGTAATAAAGTCAGTAACAATTGTAGATTAGTTAAGAGAGGTTGGGCTAACTGCAGCAATAGATGAATATATGAGACATGAAGGTAAAAACAAGTGCACAGAGATTGTGGAAAACCAAAGGATGAAAGCTTCAGGAATTTAGACCTATGCCATAGCTTTGGAAATATTTCAGCTATGGCAATTACCTTCTCAGTTTCATGAATTATACAGAAATCTTAACCCTAAACTACTGCTATCATTCTCAAACAATACTGACAATGCTCCTGTTTGTTAATGATTTAATGTGCCACTCAATATTCAAAATTTCTAAACATTGTGGTTGTCATTTGACACTAGAAACTTCTGGCAATCATTTGCCTTACTGGTTAGAAATCCTGAAATCCTTAGTTATCTTCCTGGGCATTTATTACAACAAAATTGGTACTATGTTCAGTGCATCACTATTTATAGATGCCTATGCTCTGAACCACTGATGCTATGCAAAATTTCAAAGAACTACTGTATTACAAATACAGTAGTTTACATGAAAATGAATTCTCAATTTTTTGTTTCCAATATTTCTTCACCTACAACCAAATTAACATAGTTTTTCTTATTTGGCCTGACATCGGAAATATATATTTTTTTTTTAAGATTCTTGCATGATCACCAGGAAAGGGACCCAAGAAACAGGTGAACAGTTTGATGGCTAAGACAAGAAAAGACTGACAATGACAATTATTTTGTGTGAATGTAGACAAAACACATTGGGAGAGAGAGTATACTACATATCATAAACATCTTGCAAATATCTTAACAGTTCAAGTAACTGAATATTTTGTAGTAATTCATGGCATTACCTAAATTTGTTACCATCTGGAAAGGGCAATAATGAAAAGTTAAATTCAGGTTTACAAATTTATGAGCAATTATATATATAGTTACAAGTCACTCTTAAGAAAGACAGATATGCAAATGAAGATTTGGTTTTACATATTTTAAGTAAATGAATACAATTGCTGCAACTTTCAATCAAAGTTGCTGCTAACCAAGCTAATGTTCATACTCCTGATTCCTTCCACTTTTAGTGTACAAAAAGGAAGACATCACAGCACACAAGCAATGCTTTCTAACTTCAAAATATGAATAACTAGGCAGCAATAAAAAAAAAAAAATCAAAATGTATTCCAATATGACAACATTATTAACATCGTTAAAACAACTCTTTAGGAGCAGCACCCCTAAAAATTTGTTTGGTAGGAAGGTTTAATAACCAAATAAACAAGGTTACAAAGTCATATCCACAGTCATACCTGAAAGTGTCACAAAGAAGACACTTCACATCTTCATAACACAGGAGACATGGTCACTAGTCTTTTTACCTTCATAGAATTGAGTTAATGAGCAGCATGAACTAAAGGCACACTGTAGTTATTTATAAGGAAATCTTTTCAGTGTTGTGTTAAATAACTCACAGGAGAGAAGCAAGCATATGCAAAGACCAGGAAGTATTGACTCAAGACATTGGTCTATTGAGCTGCCATCATCCATCACACGATGATCAATTCTTGGCTGGAAGAGCAGACTTGTCAAGGTCATCAAAGTATGGGTGCTTCAGGGCTTCTTTTGCAGAGATCCTTTGTGTTGGGTCATATATCAAGGTTTTCTGTAAATAAATCAATGGAAATATATGTCAACATAAACCTTTGAATGCATTATTCCTACCAAGATCTTCATACTCTTACTTTTCACTGCTTTTGTTGTCTTCCCCAAGGCATATAAAAAAGCTTATTTAAAACTCTTAAAATGCCTGAAACATTTGCAAAGTATTTTACATTCTGGTTCGGCTATTGTAAAAGTTAACAATTGATTTCCAGTACTTATTAAGTAAATAAGAGTAACAAAAGTAAATTATTCTGAACTTCATATACTCACAGAGAGCAAATCTAAGCCATCAGAATCCATCTGCTTAACTGAGTTTGCAAGATTATAGTCTGTCCACTTAGGGAAATTTGCCTTGTAATCCTGTAGTTGTGTTACACCTGGCCAGTTGTCTTCTGTAGGAGTTGTCAGGGTTCTGGAACATGGAAGCAACGTTACCATAGACAACACTATTGTTAATTTATAATGCACAGGAAAATAAATGTTAATGCTACATTTACAAATACCAGTACTATGAACTACTGTATACTGTATCAATCGACTGATAACTGGGCGAGACTGAATTACAAGAACATTGAATTACTATACAGAAAATGGGCATAATTTGTTTTTGCACGTGTGCACACAAACTAACGGCGAGAAAATTAATACTCGACAACCCTCGAGAAGTCAACATTATGGTGCTAGAGATCCGCAATGTGAATAATAAACTGATAATCATTACTGCCTACAGTTCACCAGCAAGCAAAACACCGACTAAAGAACTAGATAAAGAGAGAGCCTTATAATAATTATGAGAGGAATTATGGTAATAAAGATAATTCATGCTTCTTGAAACAAGGTTACTTTGATTTGAAATATGCAGACTGTGAATCCCATGAGGCAACATCTACATCCTTGGATGTAGAAACATCCAAGGTGACAATGTAATCATCTGCTCCATGAGTATTGTCAGCAAACTTTGTGTCTGGCATTGACAGATACCGTCCAAGCCCACCACCCAGCCACACTACAGCTTGTCAAACCAATAAAACTAGATATTTACCTTATTTCCACTTTCCTCACATTTTGCATGCAAATTGATCATCGTATAAAAGAAAAAAAATATTTGGATTTTTTTTTTAATTTTAGCTCATTGGTACACATGTATTCATATCCATAGCTGCACTTTAGGGGTTAAAGTATCCTTGTACAACATAATTATCTGATCTGGCACAAGTAATGACTTTTACTTATGTGATCTATAATAAAACAGACAAGACAGTAATACCTGAATATTCTGAAAAGCTGGTCGATTTCTGAATCTCCGTGGAAAAGAGGGCGTTTTGTCACCATCTCGGCAAATATGCAGCCCAAAGACCACACATCCACGGGACAAGAATAACGAGAAGAACCCAAAAGGACCTCAGGTGCTCTGTACCATAAAGTCACAACCTATAGCAGAAAAAGAGGTCAAGCTCAGATAGCAAAATATTTAACATTCCAATATAAAACTAATACGAAATCTGTAACTTTGCAGTAACATTCTGTATCATTAGGATTAAACTTGAAACTGATTAAATAAATACACATAACTAAATATAGGGACAGTACATACTGTACAGCATTTAATTTACTAAATTAAAATAAAACATTCCACACATGCTTACCTCATGTGTGTAAACCCTAATGGGGATACCAAAAGCTCTAGCCAATCCAAAATCAGCAATTTTGATGACTCCTTGTTCATTAATAAGAAGGTTTTGTGGTTTGAGATCTCTGTGTAATACTCGTCGCTGATGACAATACAGGATACCCTGGAACAGCTAGAATACACAAAGTTACAAATTACTACAGCATACCGTAACTAACCTGGTAAAAAGAACCAAAGAATAGGAAACTGCAGAAGGCCTATTACCCTATGCGAGACAGCAGCTATTTATGCCCAATTGTGTGTATTCATGTATGTCTAACCTATAATAGAAAAACAATCCAGCAACCACACATCTACCAATATTGATACCTGGCAACATTATCTTCCTTTCACACATTCACACACAGGTACCTCGGCACTCAAACGGCTCCCAACTCAAACAATTCAGCACTCAAGCACTTTATTCGAGAATTAAAACACTTGTCACCAGTTTGTTCGGCACTCAAACGTAAACACGCATAACAAGTTGGTTTTCCCAGTAGCTGTTGTTCAGTGGACAATCCCACTAAATGTCTCCACAAACTTTCTTGCACATTTCTTATATTTTTAGCGTAACTAGGTTACCATGGTGCCCAAGGTTAGTAATAAGAGCCAAATGAAAAGAATTTTATATACAGCACTATTTTATCATGTTTTCTCATTCTTCTCTACATAAGGGAGGTTTCTAATTCCTGGAGTGTTATCATACTTCTCTGCACAGGTTTAAATAAGGAAATATATGCCCAATCTATAGTTCTGTTGAAAACTGAACTGCATACCAGTAATCTAAATGGGTTCTAACAATAGGTCAAAAAATAAAACTTGTATTTCAAGATACAATTTCCAGTATACTATAGTATTTGCCTTATTTTGAACATTATTTCTTCTCTTAAGATCCGTACTTATCATTACTCCCAGATCTTTTTTGCATCAAGATTTAGCAAGTTCAACATTTAACCAACTTTTGGCACATTATCACCCTTCATTTGTCAACAATAAACGTTCTGTCAATCTTTAACCCACTTTAAAGTCTATATCTTTTTGCAACCGAGTCCTCCAAGCTCATTCCCCAGCATTTTAGCATCACCAGGAAAGTTCAGTCCCGCATCAAAATTGCTTTTATGTATGGTGTACAACCAAGGGTCCCAGAAAACGAGTAAACATTTTATGTACTACTGAGTGAGCAGCTGAACAGGGTAGCCATTAGGTAGCATAGATAAGAAAAATCCCTGAAAGTGTGTTATTGCTTTGGATTTATTTAGTGTTTCAAATTTACTTAAGAGTTGGGGAAATGTTGATAGGAGTTGACATCCGAGTGAATATTGACCCAGCTGTCAAATGAAAATTAAAATTGCAAAATTAATAAGGAGTTGCAATCCATGTAATGGAAGGCATAGAATGGTTAGGCGTGTAGATATAGTACAGTATTAGAATTAGCCCCAAATATATCAAACAATTTTAAAAACAAAGCAAGTAAGAATGGAGACTAAAATGGCTCCTGGACCTTAAAAAATAAACAAGGAGAACCTTGAGGAAATGTTAAAAATAGCAGTCAGTGACAGGAATCAACAAAATTTATAAGAATCCTGTAAATCCACAACACGAACTAAAAGTCATCGATTCAAGTTACAAAATTGTTGGCAAACAAATTGGTGTTGAATTGGATTGATGGATTGAATTAATTGAGAGTACATTATACCAAAATTTCATAACATTACAGGGCAGATTTTGATTACAACACACTATTGCCACTATTTTAACTAATACACAATCATCTCATTCACATAAGCAACAGAGATTCATGCACACACTAACCTGTTCACACAAACTTATTATGGTTTATTTAATTGGCACTAAACTATATACATATTCTGAAATTGTAGCTCTTCATCTGATAGAAGTCCCATCTGAATGGTGGTCCATCTGTGGTGGCATTTCACATCTGTCCAAATACTTTCATGTCCACTTTAATTTCCAAGGATATGGATTTACGTTTTTTTTTGCATCACTACTAATACTGTACTCAGTGTTTTCATACATGAGGGTCAGAACAAGAGTAAATAGGAAAAGGAGAAAACAGGAACATATAAAATTATAAACGAGACTATTGAACATATTAAAATCAATTCAATTTAATTCAAAGACATGCTACTTTAATAAAAATTTAAAATAAATCAGACAGCAAGCTTCTCACCTGATAACAATAAGATTTTACAAGCTTTTTGTCAAGGTACTTTCCAGACTCAAAGGAGTCTACATACTTCTTAAGGTCCATATTTAGGAATTCAAACACAAGGAAAAGTTTACTCTCTTGCATGAGCACATCCTCCAACCTGTTGAAGTAAAGACAGATTTAAATAAATTACTAATGACATGAACTGAAGGGCATATAAAGTATGGGTAACAAAATTATGCACACAGTATATTGTAAATTTACCAAAACACACATTTTATAATAACTTACAAAACAATGTTGGGATGCTGAAGTTCTTTCAGTAAGGATATTTCTCTGATAGCAGTGGATGGAACACCTTCTTCCTCGTTTTCCAATCTGATTTTTTTCATGGCCACAAACTTGCCAGTCTTGCGGTTTTTGGCTTTGTACACTACACCATAGGTTCCCTCCCCAAGCTTCTCTATGCGTAGGTAGTCCTCCATTGTCTCTGAAATTTAAAAGCAACTTGACTGGTCAAGTCTAAAATGATTTTGGTTGTGTCACTAAATTTCTTATGAACTTTGCTTTATTGATACGCCAAACCACTACAGCCCTAAAAATCTAACAAATTACACAAAATACAATTTACATTAAAAATTGTTTCAAAGCCGAAGCCCTTTTATGTTTTCCAAACCAGAGCCATTTGGACCACCAAGGGCTCATACCTTACAAAGCTTTTATGGTGGATCAACGGCAACGAACTATCATCGATGGACCACCTCACCAAGTCAAAAGCGTGAGCAATACTCTACTTTAGACAGGTCACATCTTACAAAATACATTGTGAAAATTTATTTTAAAACTTGCTTAACCTAAAATGGCTAAACCTAATTAGACAGCTCATCCTCCTGTTTAGATAATAGTGTACTTATAATAATGATGTAGACCATTTTATTTATATTAGGCTAGGCCTAATATTAAAGTTAAACCAACTCCAACATTCACCCCATACCATAAAGACAACTAGGCTATGGCAGTCACAAGTCTACATACACTGTATCTTAAGTTGCTCAATACTAATGATAATTAATGGTTATGGGTCTTAGGAAGGTTTAAATTCCAAGTAAGCCCACGCCATACCATTCCACCAACACATCTCAAGTGTAAAATATGGCCCTCAAGACAATTTTTTTTTTTTAATTAACAATAACGAGGCCACTCCCCCTCCTGAAGATAATTTAACAAGTTTCATGTCATACTTGTCATTCTTTCTGAAAAAAACACCAATTATTCTGTAGGTGTTAGGCGTTTGATCTCTAGCGAGCATTTAAGGATAATGATATAATGGAGAATGTTAAAAGTACCCGCCAACTGCCTCCAACACCTACAGGTGTCTCGGAACACAACGACATTAACGACCATATGGTCTCACACCCATCTGGCGTCGCACTCCCGTCACCCTCTGCCTCAGCACTCACACTCTGCCCGGGACTAATGCCTGCGGTGCTGAAGGCCGCCAAGACACTTACTTTACGTTGGATATTTCAAGACAAAAGACACAGCCCTTCCCACGTTGCTGTCCAAATCCACAAATCAGCGGCCTCGGAGCGCCCAGCCAATCGCCGTGTTTGTTTTCATTTTATCCACCAATCAAGAGAGAGAGAGAGAACTGAAACTCTGGCAATAGTTCTTTTTATATTATTAACACCTCAACTATAAAAATAATTCCTAACGTTGCGATGTCTAATTAAGAAACAATTACATTTTTATTTATTCGGCTCTTTTTAATGTGAGGATAAAGTGTAGAAGCACTTGGAGACGCGTTTCTCTTCACTTTAATTCAGCATTTATTATTATTTAGTAGTAATAAACTCTAAATATTTTCATGATGTTGCAAGAAATTAAGTATAAAGTAAATGTTTTATATGTTGCTGATATTATATTTCTAACAAAAGATAAAAAATCTGGGGCTAAGTGAAAATAATATTTATCTTGTGATCGCTGCAGGCGCTTAACAAACTATCTTCACAATACAGTACAATCCTTCCAGTAGTAATTTACTCTGTAATAATTGCTCCCATACTTATATGTATATATTAATGGAGTAAGTTGTGCCTTAGCGAAACATGCCAGGCCTTTTAATTGTATAAAATAACTTAAACTTTGAGTAAGTTTTTCAACTTCCTTCCCAAATGATTAACTGATTAAGAAATATAAGGAACATTCTTGCTAGAATAATTTACCTAAGCCTTTTAGTTATATTCAATAACAAATATGTACATATATTTATTTCTCCTACAGGTTTAGTAATGTTGTAGTTAAGTTAGTGTAGTAATGAGTCGTGACGTCACGGGATCAGATGGCAGAACATCAACAAAGTGAGACATCGCTGGCTGCTTCCACTGAGCTATGGCTCCTCCCTGACCTCTCGTGGCATCTTTCTCACCTACTATGTGCTCTATGAACCCCCGCGGAGCCTCACGCCCGTGTTTAAGACGAGCCAGTACAAGGTTAATATGGTGTGTCTACCGGGACAGTTAGTGAAGCCGTAAGACTATCACCTTGGGTATGGGGGGCGTGGAAACTGATTAGAATTCTTAAGTGGTTAATTTGCTCAACATTTCTGTCACTGGGGTTTAACTCTGCTTTTCATTTATTTTTTGTAGCCGTGTGTCACACATTTGATGTATGATGGGTGTCTTTGAATGAATGTCTTGCTGTCACGGTGGATTGGTTTAGGAAAGTGCAAAGGCAGGTGTATTTGGCTGAGCCATTCAGTCTGGTATAATATTAGGTTTAGGGTAGCCACTCTGACCTGTCCCGGTCTTCTTGGTGCTGAACTCGTCGTACCTTGGAAGAGATCCACCATTAGTCAGTCTTTTGCATACTATGTGTAATTTACCTTATTTCTGCTAACAATGCATTTTGTAATTTTCAAATTTATGTACAGTATATATGCCAACCATTAAAATTTCCACATATTTTATCTACTAAATTACTGCTTCTATACAAAGTCATTTGCTAAATGGAAGGAATTGGTGAATTTAATACAAATTATACTACACACAAGACTTCTGTGAAAAGACATAGGCTTAGTCATGTGATCCATTTAAATTTTATCAATAAAGACAAATGGTTGCAGAAGCTTTGTGAAAAATTACACGTTAATATTAGTTAATCATATTGAAATCTATGACTATTTTAAAAGCACTTGACAGGCACCCTCTGGGATGTTTGGCTTTTTAGAAAATACGGAATATAAGTGACTTGAGAAAACTGTCAATGGTAGTTCAAGTAAAATATTAGCAAGAAATAAATTTAGGAATCGTGTTATTCGAGAATTGTAGAATTTTATTATATATGTCTAATTACATTTATTTATGGCTATTGATTTTGAGATTTCACATTATTATCGAGTTAATCAAACAATAAAATCTATCATGTTGCAGACTACTTTTGACTGAATAAACAAAAATTACATTTACAGTTTGCTTCTATGTTCAGTGTGTGTGTATGTATGTATGTATGTATATGTATGCAAATCATGCTTTTATTTATTTTTGCATTGGGTTTGTAAGTAGGATTTTAATAGTGAAGTGATAGAGCAAATATACTTGAATGGATAAAGAGGAGCTAATAGTAATGGGTTCAGAGTAAATAACAATTTATGAAGTGTAGGCAAAATTTTAATTGTAGCTGTCAAAGAAATGCATAATACTTTTGTTTTTTAACTTGAAGAAATTGGGGGTCATTTCATGAGAAGATAAGCATAGTATTATTTTAAATAAGTTATAAGTAAGTAAAGAAAACATTGAAAGCAGATGTGTTTGAGTGTAAACAATTCTTCTTAATTTTTGTATTCTTTCAGGGGATACTGTGCTTTGTTATTCTATATAGAATGTAAATCTGTTTGGCTTGCTCATAATTAGTGAGTATGGAGGGGTCTAAAGATCTACCTCCTGATGAACCAGACTGTATCAGGTAAGTGTAAGAAAATTATGTTGGATACAGTCGATACTTTTTAAGACTCCTGTCATTATTATGACCACTATATGGAATGTTATGATACTTAATAAAATCTAACTTTATGCTTAAAATCCACACCTTACTTGCCTTGAATAGGAATTATTGAAAAAGTTCAGTGAGAATTCTGGGCTGGTTAATTCCTAATTAAATAATTAACTGTATGACGTTATAGTTCTGTAGTGTGAAAGTTATGGCAACTCTTTAGAGGGCATTTCACTGCAGGCTCAGAGCACAGCAGCAAGTGATACAACTGTGGTCATATCAGTATGGTTTGCGTCTACGACATCTCACACAAGTGGTTGGAAGAAATCTTCAGGGACATGGCAGTCATCCTCGCCCAGTCCCAGCCTGCCCACTCCCATCGAAGAACCCTCGTTCTCCTGCAAATATGGGGTATTAAAGCCAATTATGTTTTTAAGTTTATTTTTTTATGCTGGACTGTATTTAAAGGCTGATTTATAAGGAAAGTGTGCAAAGATGATGATATCCATTAATTTGAGAGCATATAGATTTTCATTTTTATCTATTATCTTCATAGCTATTGTAAATTGTGCTATGTTGTGAAAATTTAATATATGATGTGTTAACCCTCTTACAATATTATTTAAGCCCTCAATGGAGGGCTCTGGAGAGAACAGGTCACCTGCTACAGTCTCACCATGCTATCATGGTGCCTCCTCAAACAGGATATTGATTTTTATTTATTATTTGTAATTCTTTAGAAGTTAACAGAATGATGCAGAGTCCAGACATCTCCAATCTACCCAACAACAAGAAGAGGAGGTAGACCATAGGAAAGAGGTACAGGAAGTTTCATTGATTCCAGTCGAAGTAAAAACATCCAACGCAGGCACTCAATTGATAGAAATAAGCCCATTTCTTCGTGGAGTATAAAGAAGCGTCCCTAGCAACCAGGAGGAACGCAATTTCTTATAACCAGGAAATGTCCATGAAGCCTAACTCAAATGTATTCATGGCCATTTCTGAAGTAATAGCCTTTATTTTTAGTACAGTACAGTATAAGCTTGAGCAAGTTGTTCTGAGCAGAGATGCTGAAGGGCAGAATGGCTAAAAAGTGTGAATGGGAGGACAGTCAAATATCTCACAGGGATCTGGATATGCACCTTAAGGAAAATGGATGTATCATTCAGCTACAAAGTAATTAAACATAATTACACTTAGGTCACTATAACATGACTGAAGAAATGAAGACTAAACTATACACCAGAAGATGAGGAGACGACAACATTTTGGTCCGTCCTGGACCCATCAAGTCGATTGTCACTACTGTCATCACTAAGAAAATAACTCTGGTAAGGAAACATGAAATGCAAGCTGATGCCAGGTAATGTAATCCTGAAACAAAGATGGGACATACTAATCACCATAAGACATTCAAGATATGAAGCATAAACCGAATTGTTAGTGTAACTGAAAATAAATACTTAACATGGCTTCCCTTCAGGACAAAAAAGTCCCAAGAAATTTTCACCCAACTTAGTTTAACCAAAAAAAAGTGTTAGTGATTACAGATTAGTAGTACTGTAATGGGTTTGGTACCAGGCACGAGTGAGGAGAAAAGCAGACTGGACCCCTGGATGATGTAAGCTTCCACTTGGTGGTGCACTTGGGTACTAGCACAAGATTTGTTAACATTTGATAAACTACTGCTATCCTTGTTTCCATCTTTTCTCTATTTAGTCAAGATACATAGTTTGTTTTCCTTCACCTGTACAGTACTTTGTGTGAGTCTACTTCGTTCATTTTCTTCACCTGTTCCCTATGTGCAGTTTACTTTTTTTGTGTGTGTGTGTGTGAGGGAGGGGGAGGGAGAGGTCTTGAAAGCCTATGCTTCCCTCACCTCTATGAGCACACCAAATAATAGTCCTGGTGTTGAGTAGGCCCATGCATTTCCAAAGGCCTGGTGGTAGTTATGTGGCTCTGTAGTATCAGAGCTACTGCACTGGGGCCAGCCAAGAAATATTTAGAATAATATATTTTTGGAACTCCTGGGGTAACTCCCCTTTCTTATTCTACCACAGCCAAATTACAGAACTTATAATGTTTTCTTATTATTATAAAACTTGCTAATATTTGTTGTTTTAATTCATATAGAACAATATATTAAACAGTTTTGTCACTGTTATTATGAGGAGGATTACCAAAACTGCCACAGCAGAACGGTCAAGTGCTGCCGTGTTGGCATTGATGTTAATATTGCATAAATGCCTTGTCACATATGTATTTTACATGTGAAAATTAACCAATTAAGTGTTTTATATACTGTATGCTGTATTTCCTCACACATTAAAGGTAAATTTGGAAATTAATGGCACAAATTAACTTTCAGCTATTACTTTACTCTACATGCTTCATCAAATAAGGAAGAAATATTTTCAAGTGAACTTGAGAGCACTACAAACCCAAATTGGCTGGAAATGGAGCCAGAGAGTATAAAAACTATTCATCAACGATCTTTGAAGGGTAAGGTTTTTGTTTTGTTTTGAAGGTATACTTTAATTGCATAAAATATGCACCAGTGTAAGTGTTGTATTACTGTATATAAATAATGCAAATGTTGTAGTTGAAATAAAATTAAAAGTAATCCTCAGTAATAAATGTAACAATATTTTGTTTCTATGTTTGTGTACTGTACTTGCACATCCATATACTCAGCTTTGACACAATGTGAAATATTCCAGCACTCAAGTGTTGTTAAAATTGGTTGATACCTAATGGAAATATTAACTATTATTTTGCCCCTATTTATTCACCTGTTGCACATGTTAATTAACTAATGTTGTGTCATAATTTGAACAGGCGCCTTGATTCGGTTGTGGTTTAAACCAGAAGGGGACAATGCTCAGCTTGTTACCACCTGGGGGGTACATTTCAGTGGTCTTGTCCCCATTGGTTCAGTGTTGCCCTATGACCATGAAATGTACAAGCCAAATACATTGGTTTTCAAACTGCGACACATATTCTACACAGCACCAGGAAATTATCAAGACGCACACCTTGAAAAATCGCCACCACGACTTCGCTATGGATTCGTATTACCGTTGTCAGAGACAAAGCGATGCTATACTGTCAGTGCTTTATCAAGGTCAGTTTCAGGTGGAAGTTTTATGGTCTGTCTAAATACATACAGCATAACCCCATAAATACAACAGTGTGATATTTTGTCATAGTAAAAACCAATGGAATCTTTACAAATAACTGCTGATGACCTTGTTTGGATTATGCAGTTTATTATTGGTCTCTTTGCTATAAAGTGATAAATAAAGTCAACTGAACATATGCAGAGAAGGATGATAAAAATAATCTAGGAATTAACATTTTTCCTTGTGAAAAGAGATTAAAGGAGCTTAATTTACATTTCATTATTTAGGAAGATGAGGAGTAGAGGTTGATGTAATTTGGGCATACCAGTGGATGAAAGGGTGTAACAAGGGGTGTATTTAAAGGATGTTAAATGTATCAACACAAAATAGAACATGTGGCAATGGGAACCAATTGGACAAGTTCAGAGTCAGAGGATGCTCTGGGTGAGTATTGGTTTGGAGATGGGGTTGTTGATTTGTGGAACGGATTATAGAGCAACATAATATACTTGGGATCGCTGGACTGTTTCAAGCATAGGTGTAAACAAGGGTTTACACTGGACAGTGTGCTAGATTTCTCATCTGAAGCTTTGCTTATTATGTTTCCTCTGTGTTCAAAAGGGAGGGAATCACTCACCATTTCACAATGAACACTTGTAATATCAAGAAGCAACGGTTTCACCCTCAACAAGCTACTATGTAGTACTGTACAGAAAACAGATGATTTTCACAGTGAATGGATAAAAGATTTTTTTAAATGTTATACAGTATTTAATATCTGTAACACTTATTCTATAATAAATAACCTTTTCTCTCCAGGCTGATTCCTCCCCCACCCCATGAAAGTGTGAAATGGAGTATTGATAATGTATGTACATTAAAAGACATATTTTAGTGAAAATTCCTGTACAAGTTTTTCCTGAATGGGAATTCTAGAAGTTCTCCTACTTTCAAAACCCAGCCAGAGACCAGGCTTGATCTGTGAGAGCTTGATCTAACAGGCTGTTGCTTGGGGTGGCCCGCTGGCCCACATATCCACTACCACCCGGTTGATCGGGCACTTGTAGAAAACTGTCCAGTTATTTCTTAAACACTTCCACTTTTGTTTAATATAATACATATGCAAGTTACCATTAATCATAAATGTACATATATTTTATTTTTTAGGTTACACAGCACAAAGAGAGCACAGCGGCAGCAGGAAATTAAATGTGAGGATACACGCGATGATCTGGAGCGTCAGGGATTAACTAGAACATCATGTTCTGAGTTGTTAGCAACAAAGGTGAGCAACAATAGTTGCTAGAAATTGAAATTCATTTATTTTTCTTAATAATTGTCAAAAGGGGGTATTTGTTTTGGTCATGATAGGGTTTTGTCTATTTCATTTATTTTTTGCCCTTGTATTACAGGCATATTTTTAGATAATAACTGTCACATTTGACACTTTAGCAACATGCTGGCCTATAGTATTTCCGGATGAAATTGCCAAGAATAAAATAAATGACAGGTTGCCACAACTGCCGAATGGCTGCACTGTGCTGTGGTAAATCAAATATGCTTTCAGGAGTTGTAACTACTGTACCAGGTAATTAGCAGTGCCTTACAGTACAGTATAATGAAAATAAATAATGCTAGTACAGTATGAGAGTCAAGAAAATGCTTAAAGATAGTATTGTACTCTTGGCCTTAACATGTACAGGTGAAACTTGGGTATGGAAAATGAGGTCAAGTGCTCAAAATGAAATCATGTAGTGTAAGCATGTGGGATGGGTATAACAATGTGGAAGTATACGAAAGATGTGGTATGAGTGCAAGTGGTGAGTGAATAAAATGTGGAATTTTGGAATGGGTGAAGTATAATATACTGAGGTGGGATGGACATTGTTAGTAGAATATCTGAGAGGGTGGTAGAATAATGAGGAGGGTGTACAAGGATGAAATATGGGGGATCATATGGTAAGACCTGATGATTGGTATCTTGGAAGGAAAGAGTGGGAGACTATTTAAAAGGTTGATGGAAGTAGCCAGCACTCGATAGAATGAAAGGTTTGTGTGGTGATGGAGCCTGAGAGAGAGAAATATCTGCTGCGGTCACCCCATGATGGGAAGCTCTTGATGAAAGGAAAGTTATTGATTAGCACTCTATATCTCTCGATATTCTTATTATTTACTCTTATTTTGACATGCTAAAATGCTTCACATTTAATCAAAATCAGGTTGTAATTTAAAGTTTCATCAAGATATATAAAAGAAATTTGAATATTCAGTGCTTATTCTGAGATTTTCTGTTTAATTTTTGCGCACTAGAGTAAGTAAATGGTACGCACCTTCCAGGTTGAAGATTGTCGCGTGAAGGTTGCCTTACTCAGGGAACAGCTAGAGGCTGAGATAGACCAACTCCGGGCACTTAAGCTTTCGGCTGATAGCCTTGATAATCAAAATCAAGAGAAAGGTAGGGTAATGTAATATGTTAAAATGATAATTAGCTTCTATATTGCATGTTAATAAAAAAGTTGGACCACTATTTTAAAAGTTACTAAAAATGGCAAGTTACTGAAAAATATATTCTGTACAATACTGCTGAAGCTAATCCTTTAGTATTCTTCTAACTTTAAAAAATACAGAGACTGCATTTATATTGGTTGCAGCATTAGCAATTATAAAATGAAATTGTACTGACTATAAACTTGATATTGAATTACACACAGAACTATACTGTACTTAACAAAATCACTATGGCCTTATATACGATATAATACAAATTAACTACGTGTAAACTCTTGTGGGTGTATGTTGTTTTAGCATTGGATTGTGCCATCATTATCAGGTATTGAACTGCTGGGAGGCTACCAAGATCTCCACCGTCAGCTGGTCAAGGTCAGAGGCTTACAGGAAACAGCAAATACTGATAGTGAAAAACTTCGAGATGCTTGTGTGTATCTCAGTGATTGGCGGAAACAGCTAATTTCACAGCTTCCTATAATCTACCCCATCACTCAGGTAGGTAATGGTTCCTTAATATATTAAGTAAAACATTAGTATGAGGTGTTGATGAGTTTGCTCTAATTTTCGATTAAACCATTATTGTAAAATGAGTGTTCCATAACCAATTTTAAGTTTTGTTCTTTAGTATTATTTACAGTGACTCCTGTTTCATGTCTTATTCTCAAGATTAAACCCTTAGGCTCCATCAAAGTTTACTGTATTTTGTTTCCCAATAAAATGCATATTTTATTTGTCATAAAAGATACTGGTACAGTACTATGGATCCTTATTTATTTAATTTCATAAAGTCTTATTAAATCAATATAGCATAAAAAATAATAATATGATTGTATTTTGAATGATAAGCTTTTTCTGCCAACTTCTACAAATGCAAACATTTTATCTTACAGGACGGAGAAGGCAAGGTTCATATTTGTGGTGTTCACTTGCCTGATGCTGAGAACTATGATGGCTTTAATGATATAAGCCTTAGTGTGGCACTTGGCTTTGTTTCACATCTGATTGTGTTAATCTCCCAGCTACTACACTTGCCTCTGCGCTATCCTGTCAAGCCTAATGGTTCATTCTCTACCATCACAGATACCACCTCTGTGCAGCTCCGTGACACCGAAAGAGAGTTAGTATTATTATGCATAGATTCCAAGTAATCTCTTGTACTTGTTGTAGTTGAATTTCCATAATATTTGGTCTCTCATTTACTAACATCAAAATAAATATGTTTTAATGAAAAAGCTTTATTGACAAAAAAATATTTTGTCTGCTTTTGGGGGGTAAGAAGCTTACATATAGAAGATTTATTTATTTATAGATGATGATAATGTTAAATTATGTTCTTGAAGACCGTTGGTCGTGAACCATGTTCTAAAAATCAACAGCTCTTGTTTCCAAACCATTATTTATTAAGGATCTCCTAAAATCAAAACTTATCCAATTTATATCCATTGTTTTGTGTTCTATTTTGTGTTGATATATTTAATATCGTTAATCATGTCACCCATGTCTCTGCCTTTCTAGAGAATATAAATTAAAGTTTCTCAAGCTCTCTTCATATAGAAGGTTTCTAATTCCTGGAATTAACTTTTTTTTATTTTTATTCCCTATTCACTGGCAAAAATACTTCATCTGGCCAGGGAGGAGGTTTATAAACAATTAGAAAAATTAAAGCCAAACAAGTCCCCAGGGCCAGACATTTAACCCTGTCTCAGGTTTAATGTAAACTACTAAGTTTAATCAATCTGTCCTCTTCACTATCGATATAAATATAGATTTGTTCAGCTGAAGGCATATTGCTACATTCTCTTGTAAAAATATACAAAATTTTGTATTTATAATACTACAGTGGCCCTTCCATTTACGAATTTAATCCGTTCCCAGAGACAGGTCATAACTAAAAAATTCATAACTTGAAACAAATTTTCCCCTAAGAAATAATGTAAATTGAATTAATCCGTTCCACATTTCCAAAAATATAACTTCAAAATACATTTCATACATAATACACACACACACATTTTGTACTATAGTACAGTATGTACAAGTTATAGCTTACCTTTATTGGTGATTCTTCTTGGTGTATGGAAGATCGTGAGGAGGGGGAGAGTAGCAGAAGTGTTACTGTTTGGAAGGGGAGTCCCCTTCCATTATAACATCAGGCAGTGATGACTTCTCTGGGGAACTCTCTCTCTCCTATGATTTGCCTGCATACCACTAGGACCTGGTTGTGGCTCACTACTTGTTTTTCTCACTAAGAACCTTTCCATAGAGACTTGTTTTCCCCTATGTTTTAACATTTGTCTGTAGTGAGGCATCACAGTGTCATTGAAAAAGTTAAGGCAACGACCTACTGCAGCTTGATTTGGGCGAGTCGTTTCAACAAAACTTTGCATTTCTTCCTATACTGCACACCTCTTCTTAATTGTTGCGGAACCCATGGCATGGTATATAATAATTACTTTTATGTTTAGAAAGCAAAAAAGCTGAAAAACAAGAAATTCTTTACTAAGAATTCAAGCGCAATCGTCATTAAGTGGGCGGTCTGGTATATTGAAGCGGGGATTGCCATGCCACCAGGAACCACGCGCTCTATCGACCCATACGTGTATCAACAAAATCGCAAGTTGAGGCAAAGGTCGTAAGTCGAGTTAAATTTTCCAACGAAATTGGGGTCGTAACTCAAAAAATTCATAAGTAGAGGCATTCATAAGTTAAGGTTCCACTGTACCCATTTCTTTGTTGGTATTGAGTACCAAATCTTTCATTTTATACAAAACAGTATACGAGTCTTGTGTAACTAGGCAATAAAAATGTGTTCTTTCATATTTATCAGATTATTTATAATGGATGATTTCTCAACATGAAATACCTCCATTTTATTTTTTATTTTATTGTTCATTTCTCTTACAGGTTTCCATTATATACACGTGGTAAGGATAGGGAGAGGCTCCACTTCAACTATGGAGTGTTTTTACTAAACAAGAATATTGCCCAGACAAGATGGTATTGTGGCATTCCTACCCCAGACCTTCGACCTACTCTGCCAAATTTAAGCGTTCTTATGTCGAAGCTCATTCAAAATGGGTAATGAGCAAAAGGATTTTATTTTTTAATCATTATTTTTATTGTGATAACATGTTAATTACTGTTATCATATCTTCTATTTTTACTGAAGTATTAAGTTAATGCAGATGAATGTGAAATAAAGTTTCTTATAATGAATGAACAACAGGCTTTTATTAGGTACCAGCCATCAAGTAAACTGATAGCTTAGCTAAAATGTGGGCTGGTCATGAAATTTAATAATAAAGAAATAAATTAGGAATTTAGCTTCATTAATAGCTTAAGAGAACCATGGTCTCCTTGATCTTTGACATCGTTTGAGCCTACTAGGTAAATGTTTTGTAAAAACTCTTGAGAAACCGTGAATATTTGTGGTAGTACCGCCATATTTTACAATTAAACAAGAGCAGTGGAGGAGGAGTCAGCCACTTAACCACAAAGTTGCAAGAAGAATAAAGTTTCCCCAAAAAGAAGGCATCATTATACAGTGAGGGTATCAAGCATTGTATGTTTGTATAAATGATGTCATTATTGTAACTAGTTACCTTTAGGAGAAAATATGAATTCTAAAAGAAAATTCTACATTAAGACTTCGAAACAAAAAACAAACAAGCATTGGCAAATCTTGCAATCTGCTCTTGCTAATTTGTATAATTTACCGTGTCATTGAGGAAGCTATCCAGTTGCTCAAGGTCTGTAAACAAATTGTGTTGGTAAGGAACATCATTTTTAGAACCTTTGTTTAAAATGGTAGAAGTGGGATCAATTTTCGTAGTGTTATAGTGAAGAGAAAACAACTGTAGATTAATTTTTAATGTGGTTGAGGTATTTATCTTTTATTCTCACTTATCTGTGTCTAGTACAATAGCAGTTTCTTGCCACCATGCATCATAGTAAGTTGAGGTGTAACTACTTTCATACTACACAGTTGTAAACTTTTAGCCATAATTCTCATCAGAGCACATGCTGTATTTTTATCTTTTAAAGTTCCTTCTCATATCTTAACACTAGTCTTTCGTCACAGCTCATAGAATCACTTGGATAATTATTAACACTTCTCTCTCTCTGACTACTCATCTTGTACATCTTAAAATGTTCAACCATTGTCCTGGTAGTATACCAGTGTCTTAGAATGATCTGCTGCTCTGCCACTCATGTGTGACACCATCTACACACATTTACTTTCATCTTTTTTAATTATACTGTACTGTACTCCTTTGTTTAAAATAAATGTCATAGAACAAAAAATTAAAATTAATTTAATGCAAATTTTATTTCTTAGTATTTAAATGAGGCTTACTAAAATAATTGTTTTCTAGAGTACATTTGTATAAATTAAAATTTTGCTTTTAACCATTAAAGTGTTTTCTTATTATACATGGGAACTATGCCTGCCAGTATTGCTCCATAATAGTATTATAGGATAATTGTGAGTTTTTAAATTATGATATTTTGGTATTTCTCCATTCTTATGTTTCATATTTATCTTAAAAGTTTGTTTACTAGATCCAAATAACACTTCTAGTAAGTAAATTTTTTCATAAATTTCAGCTGTCCTTGTATAATACTGTACTTACTTTTACACTAAATTATTTTAATTAAGCTAAAATCCTCATTTTTACATAGAAGACAAGTAGTTGATAACTAATCCTTTTTATTCAACAATAAATAAAGTGACGAATAAAATCTTGAAACAAATATTTCGCTCTTAGGTTTTAATAGTTAATACTGTAGTGACCAATGTGTTAAGTGATATTACACCTGTTAACGGAGGAACCCCCCAATATAAATTATTAAATGGAATTCACGTAGATACTATTTTTGAACTTAAAGCAATCTACTACCATATGATATCTTGATGTTTACCATGTTTGCAAATAGTATTAATAAAAAGTTGTGATTCTAGCCTTATTGAACTTTATATTGTGTGTTATATTTCAGCACTATGGGTAACCAGCCTGCAGCATTGATGCCAGATGTATTGATGCCTGTGCCAGCTTCAACTGCCCCTCTCAATCTTGAGGTTCGCACACCTGCTAGTCTCTTACAACAGCAGCGTTCCCCGCGTCTTCCCCTAAATCCTCTTGGTCGTACTACATCACAGGAGCATTCTAAAGGTTTCATAGATAATTATGAGGATGATGATTGTACATCACAGTGGAAGTTCACAAAGTCTGGTAGTGAAACCAATTCAAGTGATGTTTCTCCTGTAAAGGCATCATTATATGTAAGGGAAGCTGAACCACTGAATGACAAAGATAGTACGGGAAAATTTGTGTTTGTTGATAAAGTTCAGCATCCATTAGTTGATACAACCCAAATGGAACAACATTTAGAAGAAAGGTTATCACATTCTAATGGCTTTAGTTTTTCTTTAGATAATGGTCTTAATCATATTGGTGGTAAACATAATCAATATTATAAGATTCAAAATCTGTCTTGTTGTGATGATTTAAAATTGATGAATAATGTTTCCAAGGCTCTTGGTTTTGTCCGAGGATCAGACCCTAGTTTACTGGCAAATTCAGATTTAGCTGTGGCAGGAGAAGGTGAGGAAGAGATTCTCCCAGTATTTAAAGAGCAGACTACCGAGTTACTTAGATCATGGCATGAAGACGAGCCTTCTCACTACACAGGTGTGGTTGAGGCAGGTAGCTCCGAGAAGCTGGAAGAAGTTGGTGTAGAGTGTGATGAATCATTTATGTGCTCGGCTGACAAAAGAAAAGCATTACCACAAAGGACAAATTCAGAACAAACTGAAGAAAATAATGAAATTACATTGAGAGAAGTAGTGAAAGCTGAAGGAATGGAGCAACACTTGTCTAGCAATATAGAGGCTGAGAAATCAGATGAAAAAATCAAATCAGAGAAGTCTGTATCTGGGAATGAAATTGAAGACGATTTAGACAACTTAAAAAGTGGAAAAGATGGTGTTTTATCCCTCTCAGAATTTGGAGTTACTGAAGACATGTTTCTTAGTGATGTTGCTCTAAGAACAGCAGCTTTAGCAAGGCAAAATTGTAGTTTTAAAATGTCATTTTCAAGACAGAGCACAGAAGATGAATATCATTAGCATATATTTTATTTCTTATATTGTAATCATTCTTTAAAGTAGTTTTGTCTGTATTAATACATATAGAATACCATACAATATGTATAAAGTAATGATCATATCTTAAATTTTGATCAATAAAAACTAATATATTAAAAGAAAACAAATTTCACTGTAAATATACATTGTTTGGAATATGTTAGTGTATGATGCTGTACAAAATTTTCACAAATTTTATTTCCTATAAGTTTATTGGATGAGATGTTTTTGCAGTAAGAGAGAGCAAAAGGCTCAATTGTTAGTTGTTTATCGTTCTTTAATTATTATTACCCGATTTCCCACTTTCATGGGATGGAGGAGGCATTAGCCAGAGAAAATGGGGAATAATATGGTGAAAAGAGGTTGTCAATGCTAACAAATAATATGGCTTGTGCATTCTTTATATTGTTGACACAAAATAACAGATAAATAAGTGCTGCCACACTTGAGAACACCTATAGCAGCAACTCGCTGCCTCATAAGACTAGGCGTACAGTGCTCCACGTGAATTATCATGTATAATACAAACACGTCCACTTCCTTCTTACAGACCACTTCCCCCTTGTCCTTTACCATATCCTTTGTGTTGTTCACATTCAGTCCCTATTTCCTAACACTGTCTACCCATTGTCCCTCTCTTTCCTCCTCCTCCTTAATGTCAAAGATACATGAAGATGTTCTCTTCGCCAGTTTATCATCATCCGTTCAACATAGCCCAACCATCTCGGTGTATTGATGCCTCATCTCGGTGACATTTTCATCACTTATTCTATTCTTCAAACAGCACATGCTTTTCTGACTTGCTATTATGCTAATTCATTGTTTTGAATGTAAATACCACACTGTCATCTTACATCCATATACAGGGTTGGCAGTAGCAGTCCTTCATTCATGCAGTGTTCTTCCTACATTTATTCCAGTGTTTTTTTTGTAATTTTGACTATCTTTCTGGACACACTACTCTCAACTTGGATTGTAGAAATGTTTTTTTATGAGCTGCATATCCCACGTATTTAAACTGATCAGCTGCTTCAAGCATTTCATCATTCATATTTACCTCATGTACACAATTTCTTCTCATCCCCACTATAACTTTCCTTTTCTATCTATAACCTTTACTTTTAATTCCTCTCTCTCATTAATACAATTTTCACTTCTAAATAGATGCTTCTCACTCTTTAAATAATTGTATCAGCAATACATCAAAATTGATGTACAATACTGTACTCCACTCCATTTACTTACGTTTGGTCTTTCACTATGCTTCACCTTTATTAAATAGTCTTTCTTTGACCTCCCTTATGACTCCATTCATGTATATACAGCATTGAACAACCATAGTGACATCACACAACCCTGGCACACTTCTACATTAATAGCAAACCAGACACTCTTTACACAATTAATTCACACACATGCACTATGTACTTCGTCTATAACAGCACTTAACAGAAATTGGCAAAATCCATATGTGCCTATCACTCCAACTTCCTACTCAATAGGTAACAATCTCCTAACATGCCTTTTCTATGAGCTATCACAATACAAATATCTGATCTACAGTCCTTTTTTCATCATGAAACCCAGTTTTTTAATCACAGATCAATTTCTCAATGCTTGTGTACTTTGCCAATCACTATCTTGTTAAACACTAAATGCTCCATTCATTAAACTAATGCCTCTAGAACACTTACACTTAACACATGCTTACTATGGTATGATTTCAAATGGCACTTGCAGTGTTTCACTGGACTAAGAGATTCATCCTGAAACTTTGAAAGTACAGTATATTACATGATATTGTGCATTATGTTGTCATATGATGATCTTTATCTTTCTGTACTTTTTGTTATTCCTTATGGAAAATCATGGGATTACCTCACTACATAAGAATAAAATGTTGTGAAATGCACCATTGAAACTGTGATATGTTTTGTACTTGTGATGGAACTTATGTACCAATATTAACATTTCATATTTACTGAACATGAGAAGGCTGTATTACATTATTATATTGTATATTATTATTGAAGGTACAGTAATTTGAAGTGTATAGAAAGTCTTGTTTTCCTTGTAATAATCTAAGTCATGACCCCGTGGTAGAGAATATACTAAGGATTAGTACAGATGAAACGTCCCTATTAACAAAATAGTTTTTGTACATTATAAATTCTTCTCGTAGTATTGAAAGATACTATGGCCAAAAACTTTCATATCCTAAATTTACTTTCTGCTCCAAGACATTGTTGAAATGAGTTATTACACTATTAGTTCTCTGTAACCTTTTTCTTCCCTTATCATTCATGTTTTATATATTTATAATATATTTTATTGTTTACATTTATATTATATATTTGTAAGTTATATAGATATTCTTTTTTTTTATGTTGAAGTATAGTCCCTTGTTTCTCTGTCTTTTTTTTCTCTTGATTTCTTTGTTACCCTGAGGTAAGAAGCATATTTTAGAATTGAAAATACAGTATATATATTACTAATTACACACACTAGTAGGTTGTTTGATACTCTAGGGAGTGTTATTTTACTTCATTAGCTTCCGTTCTAGTAACAGATTCCAAGAGTTATATAACAAGTTAGTGATGTTCTGGAATTCTTAAAAGAAATTAGTCTCTTTAGCCAGGCAGTTGAAGTAATACACAGTCTTGTCCAAGGGGGTTGTTAATAAGGGAATCTTTTTCATCCTTTCTCTGATAAAAGTTAACCTCGAATACTATTTACAGCTCTGCCCAAGTGGATCTTGGCTTTCAAGTCAAGAGTATGTAATAAATAATCATCACTCAGTTAATTTTTAAAAAATTAGCATTTTTTCCACTTTGGTAGAAATTTCTAAGAAAAACAGAGCAATGTAAAGTTTAACATACGCTAGTGGTAGAACTGTGGGTTCATCTGCCCAAGAAAATTGTTTCTCAAAGGTTATGGAAGCTGTAGGTATCATGGCTAAAGCAGCTTTTATATATAAAAAAAGGTTATCTTCTTAAAATTTTCTTTTGTGTGTCTTATTTGCACTGGGGTAAATATTCATTGTGATAACTTCCATTATTGCTCAAAAGCCTTATTCCTTGTGCTGATGTATGCACCATAACACGTTTCTGAAGTACTGCTCTGTACCAAAACATTTAGTATGATGTAAATGTATGCCTTCACAAAAAAACATTCGTGACATTATAAGGGGGCTACTGTAAAAAATTGCTAATAAAAGATTAGTTCATAAATGGTGATTGTGTCACCAGATACATGAATATTGTAACGAGTCAGGAAGGCCGTCTGTTGGCAGGGGGCTCAGGCCACCTAGTGGTGGCTATTGATACTAACATTAAAAGGTTTATGCTACTTATGAGTGAACCAATTGTTTAGTATGAATCGTTTGTAGAGTTTGATGGTTTCAATGCTTTGTTTTCTGTGAACCTTGTAGTTGTATATTAAACTTTTTAGTAACTCTCTGGATGCTTTTCCAGTGAAGTGGCAGATTGTGACTTGCTCCCTGTGCCTCTGTGAGGGGGCTAGGTCCTGGCTCTGGTCCCTAGTAGGTCAAGCACAACCCCTGTAACTGATGTGACCTGTTAAAATGGAGCAATCTCAGCAAGATAGTTTTAGGGAGCCACTGAGGCTCTACCAGAAAGACACATTTCATTACATTCAATGCTGGGTTTTTGCTGAGACCAAATAGTTGTAGGTGATGGAGTGAGTCATTATATGCTACATCCAAAATGGAAGATTTAGGAATTTCTTGAGTTTGGTACCAGTGTCTTTAGTGGCAAGAGTAGTTTCCTTACATCCACAATAAGGCTACCTACAGGGAAAGTGCAGTTTTACTGCAGTGGGTGTTCTCATTCTGACATGTGTACATGTGTGAAGATCAACCCAAATTTGCTAGTGAGCCTTTGTAGTAAAGGAACAACCTAACTTCCATGCTCTTAATTTTGAAAACACTAGCCCCCCATCCCCCCAATGTGGTGTGGACTATCATGTAGGACATCCATTGTCTATACATTTGTTTCTGGGTGTACAGTGCTCCACAGATTCAGAAGTGCACAGCAACAATCTTTATTGGTAAGAAATTAAGCTATGTTCATCTGCATGATATGAAATGTAGGCTTAAGGACAATAGAACCCTGCATTCTGCTACCAGCATCCTAGAGGCTGTATATGACATTGATAAATCATCCATGTAGAAAGAATTTTAACATGTGCAGGAAAACATTTAGCTATCATTGACATAGCCAGGTGTATCTCCACATTCTGAAAGTATCATGTTCAACTCTTAGAGAGTCAGTGGGAAACTGTACATTTTCTCTTCATTGGAGTTTAACTCAAATTTTGTCTTTACTTTTGATGTAGCTCATGCTTGTGCTACATGCTCAGCAACAGATTTATCATCAATACCACAGGAAAATAGTCAGTTGGTATACCTGTCATCAAGCACCATTGATTGTGTATTGTGATTTGTTGATCTGCTTCATATTTTCTTGATATTTTGCATACTTTTTTCAGGCCTAGGACAGAGGTATGGATGAGTTAACTGATGATACGAAAGTTCCAGTATGTGAGGTGGGCATTCATCAGCTCCCTCAAATAATGTGCTTGAGCATTGTGATACTCCCATCTTTAGTATCGCAGTGTTAATGAGCTTCGTGCTATCCCGCTGCTGTTAATAGAAACCTACATGTCCCACCACAGTCTTTGTTCCACAAAGGTATTGGTTTCCTTATGTATTTACTTGATGTCTCTTGTATTGATAGCACTCCTCCCACATAAAATTTAGAAATGAATTATTCTACTGCAGTGTTGTTGAGTGTGTTTGTATTGCTGGAGTCTGAAGTTATTGTACTCAAAGCCATGGAAAGGTCACTCTGCTCTCAGTGCACCATAGGTTATATCCTGTTGTCAGTGGGTCATCTTCCATCACTTCCATATACAGTAGTATTCACTTCTCATATACAGTACATCATTGATACCTTCCAATACAATACCATTATAGGAGAATCTTATCTAAATCTATCAATGAAATCTATCATTGTGTCATTGTATTACAGTATATAAATGAAACGAGATCATCCATTCAGGTGATTTTAATATCCCTGCACAGGGGATGATGCCCAGTCCCCATTCATGCCCCCTAATAAGTGTTCAACCAGCACCAGTGCTCTATACCACATATCATATATCAACTCCCCAAGCATAGTTGCATATCCATACCCTGGCGAGAAGATTGAGTTGATAATATGATGATAAGAGTACATTAGTAGGAACATCATGATAGTAATAATGTACTGTATACAATATAGTATGGCACTATGGTGTCTCTATGATGTTCTCCTGTCAGGTTGAGAGATGTTTAGATACATAACCTTTCAGTAACATTGTTTTCTGAAGGCAAATACAAACTGAAGTGATTAAAAAACAAACAGTATGTGAAGTTCTTCCTAGTTTGCATGAAACCCTTGACAATTCCTTTGTTATACTGCTGCAAAGATGGCCTCCAGGAGGCTCCCTTCCAGAAGTCTGTCCAGTAAATGATAGTTTTATCTGTGTGGTATATTGATTGTACTTGTTGATATTGAGGTCAGAATTATTATTTGGTCTAGGCTTAGGCAGTTCCCTTTATTAGGTTTCTCATTATCATATCTTTATTCTTCTAAGATGTGCTTCTCATTTGAGCTACTCGCAGAATGTTAAGGTTGCCTGAGAATTGTTCCTGTTATTGATAGGTATTGTCCACAGTGGGTCCAAGCCCAGTTGCTCCCATTGTATGAAGTGCACCACTTTCTGAATGGCAGATGTTTGTGCATGCCTGTGGAATTTAGTTTACCCTCTTGTGTTTGTTCTTTAGAAGTTCCTAGGAATATGACAACCATTTGGTTCAAGTGGATTTTTCCATGTGTGTAACAGATCTTCCAGGGTTCACTCTTTGAGATCTCATAGTGTGAGGAAGGTTTGAGTTTTTGTAGGTCTTCCATTTTTAAGTTATTGCCCCATTTTGTGTTATTGGTGAAGAAGGTAGGAGCAGAATCAGAACACACCAACCCGTTCTCGCAAATTCGTAAAGTCAGTATTGACTTATTAACTACGTGCATAGGTGATATACTAAACATAATAGATACCCCTAAAAAGATTCATAGAAAACACCGACCTAACCTAACCTTGTTAGTATCTTAAGATAAGCATCTTATTGCTTCGTAATTACAATTATTATTTAACCTATACCTATTATAGGTTAGGTAATAATTGTAATTACAAAGCAATAAGATGCTTATCTTAAGATACTAACAAGGTTAGGTAAGGTCAGTGTTTTCTATGAATATTTTTAAGGGTATCTATTATGTTAAGTATGTCACCTATGCACATATTTAATAAGTCAATATTGACTTATTAAATTTGCGAGAACGGGTTGGAACACACACACCATTCAGAATAGGGGCTGCTACTAGCACCTATACCTACGTTTGGATGCAAACCGAATGGGAACAGGTAGATGTTAACCCGAGTAGAATTCCAGACCTTTACTAAAGTTAAGAGGACTTGAGTGTTAGGTGGAAAGAAGATATATGCACACTGCTCACTCATCTGGTGCACACTACTCGCACCCCTAGAGCACACTACTCACACCTCTAGCACACACTACTCAATGACTTGAAGAATGGTATTCACCTCACAAAGCTGTCCATTGTTAACACTTTCTAGTATGTCTGCATTTCTTCAGAAGCCTTAGGTGTGGGTAAAAACCATAATCTCTTTACTGTCTACCTGACAGCAGAACTCCAACATAAGATTAGGGCCATTCACAAATATCCCTGCAAACAAAAAAACAAGACATTTTCTAAACAATTCTTTCAGGGGCAAGTCACCTGGATTCTTCTTGCTGCTCATCCATATCCACATCACCAGTAACAGTATAATTTTTTGCTATTTCAACCTTTGTGAGTATACCACACCCAGGATCATCCTCATCACATTCAAACACTTAACGATAGCTTCTCTAGCCACACCAGCATCTGTAAATATTTGAACACTGTTGTTCTCAAAGCTCTCAGAATTATTGGTAGGCTCACTAGCATTATCCTTATCACCACCATCTTGTGTACTGTACAAGACCGATGACAGGTGTTGTAACCAACACCTGTCATAGTAATTCCTTACAATTAAGTATTTTTGCTGCTTGAATAATGTCTTGGTCCATGGGTTGAATATGTGATGATGTATATGGTGGAAGGGTCAGAGATATAATTGTGCTATCTGAAGATTTCAAGGCATTAACCTC